TTCAGACGGTTTGGGTCGTCTCTTTCAGCCCTCGTTATTGACAACACGAACGATTCCTCGACATCGGCAAGGTCGTAGCATCCTGTAAATGTCAGTTTTGCGGTCATGCTAGCTCTAGATAACCTCACCTAACGTTTGCCATAGTACAGCTTGCATTGCATTGTGACTGCATATGTCTGCGTCATGAGGCATTGCTTGCTTGGTGTCTACCCAGTGATTGTGTAGGGCAATAGCCTCGGTCAATTTCTCAAAGCATAAGGTCAGCGGTTGTCCCTATGCGAGGCATTAGAGATAGAATCATGCAATATCATGAGCTATCACTCACGTATTGCGGATTAAGTAGTTTTGTCACGTCAAACAACACCTCCAACGGATGCAAGTCAGGCTGAATCTCATTTAAGACTGGAGTTTCGTTCAGGGATGGCAAGCGATGAAGCATGCTATATCGGAAATCAAACATTCCACAGTTAAAAAGAGGAGATAAATTACCTGATACAATGCTGTAGTGTTATACGATCTCCGCTTGTTCTAGCAACTGCAATGGCTTCCCGAAGTAACTGTATGTGGACACTGAGAGCTGTGAAGGATGAGAAATGATATCAAGGATACCTTGCTGGCAGCAGGATATTCCTTTCGAGTATAGTGCATGCGTACTAGATTCAGCAATGCATGCTGTCGAACACCCCTGCAAGATACTCAGTGAGGTAGGGCGCAGAAAGTTGAGCAAATACTACGCACGAATCGTTGTGTTCATGAAAATGCTGTTCAAAATATCTACGCAAGTTCTCGGGACCTATGATATCATCTCCCGTCGCGAGACCTTTTTCCCACCTGTTGTCCAATGATTAATGGATAATTCAAGTCTGCCAGAAAGAGAAGGGATTGCTTACGCTTCAAATGGTTCAGGTCGCGCCCAAGATTTCAAGTCACTTGACGTCTTGAATAGCCAGATATCAGAAGTCAGCATGTCCTTCTCTATTGGCCCATAACCTGCGTGGCTGGATCCATTGACCCACGCCTGGTAGTCTTTTTGAAGCTGTATGACGCCATAGAATGATAGCTTGATGAAACTGACGAAGCATCTGCGCACAAAAAAACCGAACATGGATGATCGACGCTATGGCCAACCTTCTAAGCTATAGTGCTACAGGAGTGAACAACTGCGTACCAGAACAGCAGGCTGGAGACTATCAGTTACCTATCGACCAGGAATGACTTTGGCTCACTTGATCATCACTTTTTTCAACGAATATTGATGGTGTGCCTGTAAATTATTCATTACTGAAAGATAAATCAGCCCAAAGACGTACTGAGGAAGAAGTTAGTTAGTTGATCAAGCGCTCGTAGCTGGGTTGCCTATGATCGCATATCCAATGAGAGAGGGCCAAAAGCAGTATCACTTGTGAACCGACCACATTCTCCAGAGCGCCTATGAGTCCCTGGACAACGGGCGTATCTGCATTCGGCGCGACTTTGACCATCGCCAGCATATGCTGATGGGACCTATGTTCAATGACCTGAGACAGACATTACTGATCGTAAACTTTCCAGGGGAAATCACAGACCCACCTCAGACGTTTCCATCAAGAGAACTCGATACATATAGAGCAAAAAGTCTTTCGGCAAAGTCTTCTGAAGTTCGTATTCCTTGAAAATCAACAATAGCATTGCTATGAGATCAATATGGTGTGGCCTGAGGACATGGTGAACGGGTGGTGGAGTGACTCGACCGTCCATCGCACAATATAGTATCACGGTACTTGATAGGAATAATCAGTCGGTGGTCAAGTTCTTGCTACCGCACGCCAGAAAGTTGCCGCCGGGAAAGGCTGCTGCAGAACGCGTCAGTGGCAGTGTCGCATTGGCGTCACATTCGAGTCTCTGTTTCCTTTTTGGGGTAAACGGTATTTTCGATCAGGTCTGCAAACTGCTTCAGCGAAATCGTCCAGAGACCAGCGGAACTTCATGGCATTAAAGGGTAAAAAGCGAACGGCTCCCGCTGCTAAAGTACGTCTTTGTACAAATTTTTACTATGTAATCATAGCTGATAGTTCCGACAGGCACCCTCAAAAAAGCGAAAGGTTCAGGCGAACAGCAAACCAAGGACCGGTACAACACAATCAAAGAAAGGCAAGGGGCGAGCCGCGGACAAAGGCTATATCGAGGTGCCCGGAAACCACGATGACGCGGATACCGAAGATGGCGATCTCTCCGAAGAGGATGCTGGTCTCCTCGAGGAGTTTGGAGATGGTGCTGGATTCTTAAATACACTTGATCGAAAAGGCATATCAACGTATGTCATCTCTTACACGGTGTTTAAATTCCGATGACGTCTTTGTAGGAGCAAGAAGGAGACTGAGCGTCTGAAACGATTGAACAAGCCAGCCCGCAAACCAAACGTGGACGATGACTTGCCGTCAATCGACTCTCATGATGAGGACGAGGAAGCATGGAGCTCTGGTATTGAAGATGAAGCGGACACGATTTCCCAGTCTTCTGTCAATGATAGCGAACAAGATTTGTCCAGTGAAGATGATCTAGATTCCGACGCCGAGATGTCTTATGAACGTGTTCCTCGGAAAGTTCAAGAATCACGCGAGTCAAAGATAGACCGCCACATTCAAGGGCTGCCAATCAAATCAGCGGATGGGCGAATCCATTCAACAGGCATGAAAATTGCAGCTCCTCCATCGTCAGACGAAGAAGACAGTGCCACCGACGAATCCGCGGAGGAGCAAGAAATACCCGTTGAAGTAAATAGAATAGATGATGTCGCGACCGGTGCACGTTTTGGCCGTCCTGCTGTCATCGACGTTGTTGGAAACAAATCACGAACAGCTCGGATACAGGGTGCTAAAGACCAGATCGCCTCCATCTGCCAGGAAATAATTGCAGAGCCAGAAAATAGCGTGCGTACTTCACTATCTCGCCAACATGTCTGCTCGACATATATGACAGTTAGGGTTACTTCGCCGCCTTCATACTTTCTCTCTGGAGAAAATTACGTCTCCTTCTCACCCAGAACCGGTTCTAAACCATATCATCATCCGGAAGCTAGCTATACTTTCACAGTTTGCGGTTTTCAAGGACATAATACCGGGCTACCGGATACGAGCGTTGACCGAAAAAGAAAAGACAGAAAAAGTTAGCCAGATGGTAGCCCGTACCCGAGAATGGGAGCAGGGTTTTGTGCTAGTGTATCAAAATTACCTCCGCTCGCTTGAAGCTGAACTCAAAGGTGACGCATGTTCTGATAGTGGTTTATTGATAGTGGTTTACTGATGGACTTTCATACAGCCAAAAGCGAACTAGCAGAGGTTGCGCTTAAATGTATGTGCACTCTAGCCACTGAGGTCACCCACTTCAATTTTAGAACCAACTTGATAACATGCATTGTGGCGCGCTTGAGCAAGAAGTCGTGGGATGAGGTAAGTAGTTAAACTAACACATGCCGTATGCGCTCCACTTGACAATTGATTGACATACCAGGCTTCTGATCTTTGCATGAACACATTGATCAGTATCTTCCGCCAGGATCAAACTGGTGCCCCCTCCCTAGAAGCCGTCCAGCTTCTAAACCGTATGACTAAAGAAAGGCACTTTAATGTGCACCCTGAAGTACTTACGTGTCTTCTGCATCTTCGCCTCAAGACAGAACTCAATATCCGCGCGTCAGACTCCAAGGTAGACAAACACATGCAGTCGAAAGGCAAGGCTGCAGCCCGACGAGCTAAGGGCAAACCGACCGAACAACCCCATCTTAGTAAGAAGGCGCAAAAAGTCCTAAAAGAACGGAAGGAAATCGAACGGGAAATGCGGGACGCAGAAGCAGAAGTTGACAAAGAGGAACGAGCAAATACAGTGAGTTTCGTAACTTGTATTTAAAAACTCGACTAACGGTTCCGGTGTAGCACACTGAGACCCTGAAACTTCTATTCGTTTTGTATTTCCGGATACTCAAGCATCCCCGTCCGACATCCCTTCTGCCGGCGGCCTTGCGAGGCATTTCCAAATTTGCTCATCTTATCAATATCGACTTCTTCAAAGATCTGATGCAGGTCCTGAAGGATCTTATTCTCCGCGATGCCCCGGAGGAGGACCCCAGCGCTGACTCAGAATCATTTCGTGTTGACGCCACTACCGACATTCAGCACCGCTTACTGTGTATCGTAACCGCGTTTGAGCTCCTCTCAGGACAAGGTTCGTCGTCATCCATTACAAACAATTATTCCAACGTTCTCAATGCCGTATTTCAGGTGAAGCGCTCAATATCGACCTTACCGACTTCATCAATCATTTGTATGCCATCATCCTGCCGGTCAGCATATCGATGCAAGTCGACGCGCCTCCGCCGAGTGCGTTTGTCTCAAACTTCGGCAACTCAAAACCTCCATCAACTGCTGACATGCTCTTCCGAGCCCTGAATATCGTATTTTCTCCGCGAAGTTCGGGAAATACGGCAATACATTGGAGATCGGCAGCGTTTAGTAAACGCTTGTTGATTGCGTCACTCAACTGGCCCCCGAGTGCCGCCCTCCGGGCTCTAGAATTTGTGGAAAGTTTGGTCGCCAAGGATCCGAAACTCGAAGCGTTATTGTCGACTGAAGATAGGCGAGTTGATGGTGTATACCGCCCTGAAGTGGACGACCCTCAGTTGTGCCATCCGTTTGGGACGTGTTTCTGGGAACTGTCCCTGCTGCAACAGCACCATTACGATAGTCGAGTGCGAGACGCCGCGCGCAGTTTGTCCAATTATACAAGATCGTAACAACACGTAAAATTTCATACATATTATGGTGCGCAGTAAGTCGTACACGGTATCTACAATAGCATGCAACAAATGATGGAAGATACATGTTTAAATTTAACCAAAGCAGATTAAGAGCTGACCGTCCGTCCAAATTAACATGGTCCATGAATGGCTTCCGCCGCAAGTTTGATACAACAAAAAGTTCGAACGAAAAGCGTGCGGTGATAAATAAATATTGGGTTCATTAAGTTCATGAAGACATCACGTAAGGCGATTCATGAAAAGGAATAGCCCGGGAAGAATCCGTACTAGGAGGAATGAGTGCATGAGACAGAGACGTTGGAGTGGCATGGATGGTACGAGGTATGCTGTGTCCAGGTGCATAAGTGTAGTTTGGTACGAAGGCGCCGCTGGTATTTGGGACCAGAGTGGTGTCAGCGTGGCCGGTGTATTTTTGGAATCCAATGAGCTCCACAGACGGCAAATTTTCACACTGCCTTCTGTCGAGATCGTAATAAATGGCTGCTATGACTTGTTCATCAACCACAATTTTCTGTATGATGCATGTTTGCATATCTGTTGTCGCGTTGTTAACATGAGGCAGCGTGTCTGAACGCAGGTACTCACCAGGATCTATCCACCGACTTCGACTGAGCTGGGAATCGGGCAAGAGTAGGGTGATGTGATCCAGTATTTCAGGTCCGGTAGCATCCGCAGCTATTACGGAACAATAACTGCTTTCCCGAGAGACACACTGGTTTCTGACGAAAACAGCTGTGGAGCACCTAATACTGGAGGTACGTGGAGCGTCGCATGTAATCGACCCTTGAAAGCCGTGGAGGGCTGGGGAGTATGGAGCCTCTATTGGAGGGAGGCGGAGCTTGACACGTAGCGCCACAACCGAAGCGTTCAAGTCCGTCGGCTGTGTTTGCGAAGAAAGAGCATCCACCGACACCGTGGCGGGATGCATGCCCTCTGCCCAAAGCGACAATCCTGTCAATAATGGAGGACGAAGTGTGCAAGAGAACAGTGTTGATGAGTTCTGAATCCGGGGAGAATTCGAAAGAAGGAGGTCCGGCGACATTTGGTCAGCGGTGAGCACGGATTGATTTTGCCGTTCATAGCCACGGTGAAAGTCGAAGTCCGCACGTGTGGCAGTACATGGTACATGTGGGCACGATTGCGATGCTGTTGGCCGGACCGATATATCAGGGGAGAGGGAAGATGCCAATGGCGAAAGTCGCCGTTGGTCAGCGCTAGCAGAAGTGGACATTGACCGTACGCGACGGCATCCGTCGTCGGCCGTTGGTATCCGGGGATTCGGATATGGCGGCATTATGGGTTCGGTCTTTGAACCCATTATGGCGGGACTTGCACGAGGGAGAGTATGGCGAGACGTACGAGACACCGGACGACCGGGACGGTCTGATGCTGGGGAGTGGTCATCGAGGAACATGGATGCCATCATATGGGAGTCGGGTGACTCCTCTGCTTTGACTGACGTAGGGAGACCGGTATCAAGGAGTAATTCCTCGCCACCAGCGACCAAGTGGTATTCTAGACGACAGGTTAAGAAGGAATCAATAGACGCTCGATGAAGTTTTCTGACCATGTTCTCCTTTCCACATATTACGAAGTACCTGTATGTGGCTTGCAACTTGCTTCTTGGAACGGTCTATTCCAGCGCGCTGGAGGTACTCGACCAAGAATTGGTTTCTCCAACGACTTCTGCCACGAGAGTAAGTTGCCCAAGGTGATTCCCAGTATTCTCGAAGACCTGAGTAGGGTGTGAGAGGGTGAGGAAGAGATGATGGTAGAGGACTAAACTAACCTTGAACGAATATTCTCTCTATCTCTTCTGGCCAGACCTCACTGGAGCCATCCTTGAGTAATTTACGGTGTTTCCTCTGAGGAGTGAGGGTCGTTCCATCGCGTTCACGAGAGACTGATAGTCTTGAAGTGCGCATGACTTCACGAGAATTAGGGCAGTGGCACTGCGTACTAGGGGGGGGTAGTGATAAGAGGAGGGCTTGAAGGAACCCTTATATATATCTGAGACCCGGTTTCGGCAGGGTTTCTGAATCTCAAATGAGAACGAAATCAGCATAGCGTTGAGAGATTTTGACGACCAAGGCTAAAGATCCGGAAGTGGCATGAGGGAACCGCTAATTCGGATAACATCTTATTGAAATGGCCCTGGTTTAGATAACGGATCGAGGAACTAGTGGTGGGAAAATAGACCCGCTTTCGAAGGTCATTCATACTAACAATTAAGGTTCTTTTATTACAAAAATAGAAATTCACGGCCATCCTACTGGAGTCAGACGAAGCAGGTCAAGCGCTAACCTAGATCCAAATTTTTGGGGGGATCTTGGGTCGAGACTTGACTTGGTTTGTCGTCAAGGCGCATCTCGGTCCGTTTAAAGCGGAGAATCAATTATAGACTCCGATCAAACCGAATGTCACAACACAGCCACTACCTTACACCCAAATGAGTACTACTACTACACAGAGATGGCTACGACAAAACGTCAGCTCATATACTCACAAGGATCGTGTCCTTCTTGACTTTGATACTGCTCTCGACCGTTTCACATCTCTACGTCCAAAGTCAGATGTCTACAGTTCAGTGACTATTAGATTCCATATTCAAAATCCCACCAGTTGATCCTTGAAAACTCTAGCTTATGATGATGGTCGAACTCAACTTCTACTATGTCTGCATGGCGTCTTACCAATATCCTTTCGCGGCGCTTCATATAATATCCCCATCGCTGTTTGGGTCACAAAAGATTATCCCCGCCAGCCCCCAATAGTGTATGTTGTTCCAACACAGGACATGCTCGTTAGACCGAGTAAGCACGTTGATGTGAGTGGCCAATGTAAAATTGAATATATCCAACACTGGGAAAAAAAGAGCGAGGTAAGTTCACTTACCGAAATAACTACCGATCAGAACAAATTCATCCCCGAGCAAGGCATGTAATCTATCAGCTTTACTCGAAGCATTGCAACAAGAGTTCTCCCGTGGTCCGCCAGTCTACGCCAAACCAAAAACAATTACAGTTCCAATCCCACCATCGTCGCCGTCACCTTTACAGGAATCTAGTGCCTCATCACCTGCCCGCGTTGCCCTAGGCAATGATCGACCGGCGCTTCCACCAAAACCCAATTCATCAGCACATTCACTATTGTCACCGAAGCCTGCGATAGTCGCAGCTCCCATTGCTTCTCCTCAATACTCTTCTACTGTAAGAACCCTGTTATTCATCAGCGTCATTAATGAAATGGATGTTCATAGGCGAATTTGCTCAATCGGCCACCACCGGCTCTACCCTCTGCTCAATCACCCCAAATCACAGGACCTCCAACTTACAGCCGCCCTTCCTATCAGCACACGTTCAGAAACCATAATGACGGCACTGTACCTGTAGCAGGTCCCGCTCTGCCACCGGATCATGACAACCGCTGGTCCGTACCACTCGCTGGCCAAGCTATATCCGGTCAATTGAATCAATCACGCGCCCCAAGCACGCCATCACCTCCAGTTCTTTCACAGCATTTACAGGGGGCACCAAACTTGTGGCAGAGGCCGACTGCGAACCTCCTAGATGATGAAACTGCCGATTCGTCACCTCCTGTGCTACAGGTTCCCACGGTAGCACCGCCACGACCACCGAACCCAGAGTTGCTCCGCCTGCATGCGCTAGTACATGACAAGATCGCGTCGGAGCTTGCTTCTCTCTCTCAGGTTATGCTTCTGGACGGTGAACGTCTGCGAGCGCAGCAAACCGACCTTCTTGCCGGAGAACCCGCAATCCGGGATGAGATGGCGCGACTAGAAGCCGTGCGAGATGTTTGTAATAATGTTTCTAGCAGACTGCGGAATACTGTCGATCAAGGGGAGCGCAACATCGCTGAATTGCGAAGGAAGGGAGATCCAGAAGTCGATGAATTGATCTGTTCCACAAGCATAGTACATAACCAGTATGGAATAGTTTTTTGTTCGATAGTATCACCGGGTCATGCTGACCGGTGTGAATTCGACTTTTCTAAACAGGCTCATCAACTTGGTAGCTGAAGATAATGCTATAGAAGATAGCATCTATCATCTCCATAGGGCTCTGAACACCGGGCGTATTGATCTAGAACGTTTTTTGAGGGTGAGTTTTCAAGGTTTCATATCACACAGTCACTTGCAACTGATGGCGGTCCTTCTATCTCAGAGCACGCGTGTACTCGCAGAAGAACAGTTTACAAAGAGGGCACTGATAGAAAAGATTCAGCATGGGATTCCAACGGCATCCTACAGCTAATTGGAGTATTATTTAATTAGGGTCCTAGAAGTTGATAAGAAATGCTCGATAATGTATTTGCCTTTTTTGTATCGTTCGAGACCTCTTTTTTTTTTTTTTTCTGAGGTCAAGAAAATGGTGTTGTGAGGTGTTTGTGCCTGGCGAGGTGGCACATGGGGCGCAGCGCCTTCTTGACACCGGTATTTTGATGGGAAAAGCTCCGATTGGTCAGAGGATAATATGCATACTGAATAGCAGAGAGAAACATAAGAAGCAAACAAACAATAAATCGATCAACGAACTAGGGTGACATTACACTTCCGGCTGAAATTGAACCTTCCGAAAATCTGGTGCACTGGTAGATCCCACCCATCGCCATACGCGTAGTTCGTCACCACCTCGCACTTCTTCAAGGTTTGCCCTCACATTGGCGTTCCCTTCTACCACACGCTCCACTTGATCCCATACGCTTCTTCGAATTGATATTGAATGTTCATCCTGTAAGATGAGATCACGAAGCTGAAGAGAGGACAAATACGGGTGCGGTGCCGTCACTGGATCCGTGTGGTGTGCTAATTCTTGATTACGCAAAGTATCAAGTGCGATTTGCACCAATTCTGCCACACGCTTTGCCTCCGTTCGGCGGAGCGCCCGGGACCGTTTTATGAAATACAGCGCGCATAGACACGATATAGATGCTAAACAAAGTGTCAAAGAAGCTTCTGAATATCAAATTAGTCTTACCATAAATAGACGCTCGCCATTTATCCCAAAGCTCCCGAGACTTGACAGTAAGTTGACAGTTCCAAGTCAACTGTGGCGTCTTATGAGCTAAATAACGATGACCTCTACTCTCATTTAGTTATTTAATATCACGCCCAATAAATTCAAAACTCACGTGTTATCCTCCCCAAAAATTACGGAACCCCATTGAACTAACTGTTGTATGGCTTCATTGAACGTGTCATCAAAATTGACCAGAAGTTGCGGCTACCCGGTCCTTGAATCAGCTGCCTCATATCAGGAAATACTTGCACAAACTCACAGCTGTTTTCCGTTTCATTGTATCCCTCAACGTCTCAATTTCAAGCCCCCATTTCATCGCTTCCCCCCCTTCACTATCTTGGACGATCTCCCGACTTTGTTTTTCCCCGATGCACACGCGTCTCCCTCGTTCCTGTCCGAGAAGACCTTCTATCGCTTTACCCAAGGCGCCTATATTCCGTTTCCGTTTCGGATCTTCACTGCAACGTGGGGGAAACGCAACAGGTCCAAATCCAGGTAGCCCATTCGTAACCTCACCAATCAAGCTCCATATCCTTTCCACAACAGGGGATCCGGTGCCGAAAGGTAACAACATGCCAAGAACAGGGTGTGGACCCGATACATAACTAGGGTTACACATGACCGAGTGTTGCGTGCAAGTCGCAAAGTCTGGACAAGGTGCACATGCCGACGGATGCAAGGCTGGAACAAATAATGGAAATGGACTTGGAATTCCATCCTCGAACAACCCAGTATCCGATACGATCGACGGCAGATACAGAATCGTCTTATTGTCTTTGTTACGAGCCTGGATCGCCTCCCACCGCCCTTCGAGGTCCCGTAGAGCCTGATTGGTGTTGCTGCCAGTATCACAGTATCCAATCCCAGATGACTCGTCTTTGTACTGCTTCACAAAATAGGATCCGGCAACTATCACGATCAGGTAGACAAGTGTCATGAGACGAGACCTAGAACGCGGCAGCGGAGGGGCTGGACGCCGGCGAACCAATTGGTCACCATTGGATACGGCAACCTCTAGCGAATCAGCTTCCCCAAAACCGTCGCTCTGGCTTTCATCAGGAGTCTGTCCATCAACCACATCTGTGGCGTCATCAAAATCTAGGCCATGCCCACCGACCTTGGTTGGTGATTCATGAGGCGGCCTAGACCGGTGTTCGATAGGATTGAAACCAACGGTCTCCGACGGAGTTGAAATTCGGGGTGCTCGTGGAATTGTAGGGGGGAGTTCAGGTTCAAACTTTGACTGCGGAGGAGAACGCGGTGTATCAACTGAGAAAAGAGGTGCTTTTGGAGGAGACAACGAAGATACTTGAGGGGGTGCTGACATCGAGTGGCGTGACTTCTTGACAGAACCACTTTTCCGAGGACGCACAGGAGACGGGCGCACAGGCGAAGATGATTCAGCACCCGATTGGAAAATGTTATTGTCCTCCCATCCGCTGTCATCTGCAAGCTTGAGACAGGGTCAGACAAATACCGAACAACAACACTCTCTAAATTACCGAGATTCTGCGTGCTTGCAAACCAGCAGCTTGCGACTACATGAATGGTTAGTGCACCTTGCGATCAAACATAGCGCTCACTCACACTCTTCTTGTTCCTGCCTACTTTGCGCAAGGGCGAGTCTTCTTCAGGTTCACTTTCCTCGATGACTGCCGGCTGCACAGCGGCGCGAGCAACAGTTCTATGTACGCCACCAAGGCTGGGTTGTGCAGACGAACGACGGCGCTTCGGCTGGTAAACGCAAGATTAAGATAGGTACAGCATAGGAAATGACGTCCATACCGGATCTGGTCGAGCCGGCGGTTCCTCATCATCGGACGGTGCATGAGAAACTCTCCTGGAAGATCGCCTTGGCTGCTTTTCATTAACAGGAGAAGAAGCACAGCAGTTGTACCAAGAACGCACCTTTGTGGCACCACTGAGGGGTTTTCCTGTTATGCCATCAGTTATTCCATCATCGCTAGCAGCACTGTTTTCCTTCTTCAATCTGTCCTTCTTGAACTTCGCTGCCTTTGGCTTGATTTCATCAAGGAAAAGCTGCACCAATTTTGGTTTGGTGTAAGGCGTCGGAAACCTGATGTTGTGATATCCAAGAACACCAAGAAGTTGAGCTACTGTGAGGGTAGCAGGATCAAACTCGGGGTTAAGATATTCGCCCAGGCCGATGACCTGAGCTGCAGTCATGGCCCTCGACATCGTGGAGCGTGTTGAAGCCGGTGTCGTGACAAGTCACACTAAACGCGGCGTGACGTACACATATGCTCAGTCACGCTGATATCCCAATGTTGAACTAGTTACTTTACTACTATTACTACTACTAGGTCGAAGTCGACTCGGAACTGCTGATCAGACGCTGTGGACCCACTCACGGATCGAATGGTCCCCGGAGCCGTACACGTAACACATACCTGTTTAGGTCGTGATCTCTGCCTCTGCCCGTGAATCATACATGGTGGATTCAGGCACCAGAACCCAACCGGATCTCCAACGGGTTCTGACTCATAGGGATGTGACTCGGTGGAGTACCTCCAGGCGATGCTCATGACGTCGCTGGAATTTATCGAGTACCAATCTTTTGTATTACGAACAGGGGTTACAGCCTGTAACTACGAAGGGGTGACTCAATTGACTCGTGAAACTTTCAATAATTCCTTAATGTCAACATCATACAAACTTGGGACGGAAGGGTCCTGAAGGGCCGAACCATTTTCCGTCAACCTGCGGCGCAGCATAAGACACTCCGAGAGCCCCGAACAAACCGTTTCCAGAGACTCACCATGCGACTCCAATAAACCCAAGGAAAAAGGTCCTAAGAATAGCACAGACAATAAGCCGTGTGCCTTTTTTTAGGAGCTACATTGTACTCCGTACCTTTTTGAAGTGGTAAAATATTCTGAGGGATTTGGCAGGTTCAATGCAATGATACATGTAGGAATCACAAAGGACGAACCTTCTCCGTTTCGTCTGATCGCCCAGGTAATTGGCAAAACTCTCTTTGGGCACAAATCCATACATAAACTCGGTTAGCATCAATTCCCCATACCCCGTCAGAAGCTAAAGTTAGAATTTGGTCAAGTGGATAATGTTGTAAGGAGCGGACGGACCGGACAACTTGTATAGCCATCATACTTTGCACTGCTAACTTTGCCAGTGTCCATAACCGAAAATAAATTTTCCGTCAGGATAGGAGCCTGAGATGTAATGGCGGCAATCGTTTTGCTCGTGGGTAGGGAGGAACAGTCACCCAAGGCAAATATGTTTCCAAACTCGGGCTTGACATGTCTGAGAGTCGCCTGATCGACTTCTACCCAACCCGCTGAATCAGCGATAGGCGATCCTTTGATGAAGTCTAGCGGTCCCATAGGCGGCGTGACATGCAGGAGGGTGAAATCACGATCCGTGGTCGAACCGTCATCCTTCTTGAAAGTTGCTTTCCTGTTCGCAACATCAATAGACACTAAGTTGTGTTGGAACTCTGCTCCGATACCCCGCTCGATGCGCAGAGCGTTTAGGGCATCCGAATACTTCTTGACGCTAAACATGGATGGCATGCCATTCATGAAGTCTATTTTAATGTTATTTCCTCGGCCTGATTTTTGGTATCTGTCCCAGGCCATCCACATGATTTTCTGCGGAGCTAGAAGACGATAAGCAGCCGCGATACAGAGAGAAATTTGACTTACCTCCTGGACATTTGATGATACCCGCAGGTTGGGTAAATATAGCATTTCCAGACCTGAGAGCATCTATGTCGTGCTGAACTTTGCTGCAGGTATCATAGGAATATATCGATGACACTCCAGAGGAGGGATCAGCGAGAGCCTGCGGCAACCCAGCGATGCCGTCCCAGTTTATTTTCAAACCTGCTGCCACGACAAGTGAATCGTATGAAATTGTCCGACCTGACGTTGTCGTGACTGATGACGATTCCGGATAGAATGACTTGACATTCTCTGCGATATGCGTGATATGCGGCGGGAATAGGGACGCGAGCGGTCGTCTGAAATCTGTTTTAGAGCCAAGACCAGCACCGACCAAAGTCCTGGAGGACACGTCAGGATTCGTATACAGAACGATGGATAGAAACCGTCACCAGCCGGGCTTGAAAGGAAGAGCCATTAAAAAGTAGCTCACACGAATAAGTTACAGTCTGATTATGAGTGCTTACTTGATAGTAGTGATAGTCTGCTGCGTCAAGGACAACCACATCCCCTGCATTCAAAGGCTTTCCAGCAGCCTTAAAGCGGTTGTATATCTGGTTGGCAACAGTCAATCCACCAGAACCTGAAAATGCATCAACGTTAATTCAGAGAACTCCAGCGATTGATGCACCTGCTCCGATAACAAGCACTCGGAATTTTTCCTTGGTGCTCGTACTGGCATACCTAGCTAGAGCGACAGTTTGTCGAGCACGCGGGCCTGTTACACGCCGACATGCTAGCAACATGTTCGACATGATGATAGTAAAACAACAAGGCGCAAGTGATCCTCGACTCCCACGTTAGTGTAGGGAAGAAGAGCTTTGTCGAATGCAAACGGATTCCCATCACTAAAAAGATAAGCGAGAATGCTCAGAAATTCGGGGAATCAGAATTTCCGTGGGGGAGGGCTTTGTCGAACACAAACGGATTTCCAATTTCCCAAGATGTGCGAGAATGCTTAGAAAGGAATCAGAATTTCTGATGTCTCCGACTCCCATGGAGGGAGGGCTTTGTCGATGACTAGTGTTGCTGTTCGAATTTGAAGTGACTTCGCTAGCAAGTTGCTTCGCGTCGCTTCGAAAACGTGAGACTTCGTTGTACCGAAGCTGGTCGAAGTAACACTTGTTAAGATCTAGAATAGAACACGCTGTATGGGATACGAAGTGAGAAAGAGACGGCGAGACAGATAATAGTATACATATACCTCAGAGGATGAGGCCTTATAGGACGTATGAACGACAGAAAGAATCACGTGCGTGCGTATTAGATAAAAAAGGTAATTACCTTGCGGAGCAAGGTCATAGGATAATCTGTCAGTCACCTGACATGAACATCATGCAGTGCAATCATAGAACCTCGTCAATATCAATACACAACATTATATAAATAAAGGGGGCTTCTTGGACCTGAACCACCATGTCAGGTAAGGGTGGCACCACTATATGGTGTCGCCCGACGCTACAGTCTACATCCCTAGGCTCCGCGTTTTCAACACATGAATACGTTCACCAATAATTCCAAGTGTGTCAACTAATTGAGAGCCCCCACAATATCAACATCGTCATCGTTTCCAGCATCGATGCTACCCCTGCTACCACTAAAAAGACCTTGTAAAGAGCATACAAGTACCTAAATACTGTACCGCCCTCAAACAACCAATACTCAGTAGAAATGACATGTCAGCTCAAGAGTGAGAACCCAACTCAACTACCGAGGACACTCCCCCCATCCACCAATGGGACATGCAACGTGCCACCCATCCTAATCCCCACAAAGGAAGCGGTACGTGCACACGCCACCCAAGCCTATCTCCCTTTATCTCAAAGACTAGTAAGCCTTATCAGCATGCTTTGTACAACTTGCCCTTTGTTGAATACGCAACAAAGAACCAACCTCCACATAAAAAGCCCCAAAACATCACCGAAAGCCCCCACCCCCACCCTCGCCGCGAGACTCTCACAACACATCATCTAGTGCCCACCCCTGGCCATCATGACCAACACCGCTACCCCCAAACAGCACATGATCACAGACTCTCGTGAGAATAAATGCACCAGGCAACAGCCCGAACAGTCTGACATGTCCGAATCTGAAGATGAAGGACAAGGCTCAAACAAGAAACAAGCTACGAAGGTTAACGCCGCCCCTCCTACCACTACCCAACCCGTTGCTCAACCTGCCCCTCCTGCCAATCCATGGCACTTCCTCCAAACTGGCGCACCAAATGGAACCAACACAGGTTAGTATATCATACGCACCGACATAAGCTACACTAACCACGACAACTCAGTCAACGGCGTCATCACCCTACACAACGGCCTTAAGATCACCGCGCCCCCCACGGGAGGGTTCCCATCCCCTCAACTTGGACAATCAGTCTGGAGAAATGTGGCCCCAGCCCTGAGAGAAAGATGGCCCCAGAAGGCAGGCCCCAAGCCTTGGGTGCGAACTTTTAGGGCCAAGTACGAGGATAACATGCAAATGACTAACATTAAGATGCGCAACCTCATTGCGCTAACCATCGGAGAAACAGCCGCGGCGCCTCTCCTCCTCAGCACACCGTCTGCTGAGGGAGATCTATACGAACGTCTCCCCCCTCCCTATCATTTTCTGATCTCCAGCATCTCCCAACCAGCCGTTACGAGGCTGACAGGACTCGGCATATGCTCTTCCCCTGAGATCACATGCTTCTTCATACCCTACAACCAACCGCTACCCAACTACATATGCACACTTGAACGCTTCACACTCCCCGACTGCGCAGAAAGCAATGCGGAAATCGCAAGCCTAGTTAAACAAACCATACACATGCACCCTAACATCTCTCTCTTCATTCATGACCACATCCCCACCCCCAACGCAGAAGCGGCCATCAAGGTCATGAACTCCATTCGCATTGCGAGCCTTACCATCGCCGTTTCGCGCACCATCTCCCACACTGTGTGGAATGTGTATGCTGATTCCCTCCCGAACATGTCCCTCAAGGACTATTTTGAATGGACCAACCTCATCCGCAACTTGCAATTCGCATCTGAAGACTATGGAACTGGCTTAGTCCAATCTGAAGAAAAGCAATTCCTCTGCACGGGCTGCAAATCCTATGACCACCCAACAGGTCTATGCCCCTTCCCGAAAGTCCTAGGCTGGTTTGGCCCTGTGTCCGCAACTGAAGACACCGCCAACGCCTCCCTCGACAACAGAACCAACAACAACCAATCCAGAGGTAACTCTTCCAGGGGAGGACGAGGTACAGTCGGCAGAGGACGAGGCTGCGGGAGACGGGGAAGAGGTCAATACTAGTAAACCTCTCGTATCAATGTATATACTACCTCCAATGTACAACAAATAGATGATCAATGTATCACACTTTTGACTCGCTCTTAGCGTGAGGACTAAGAGTACTTGATATGTATACTACATCAAGGTCAAACAATCAAGTCAATTGTCTATAGGAGCCCAAATATACTACGTTCGTGATAGGAAAGCAGTGACTATCATCCTCAACGAAGTCATGCGCCCCCTCTGACATGTTCCCCCCCTCACAGACGCGGATAGTCGGTGCTGTTCGAGAAGCATGGTTGAGGCTCCAAACTATAAATTCAACCACTAACTTTACTATACAACCCCCCCACAACACGGTACATACAAACAGCAATGGCTACAAACCCCATCCACCTCGAGGGGACTATGCTTCGCCCGTCAGCTGTGTCCTTGATGAAGGGTGTGTGGGTACTGGTGACGGGCACCAGAATACTGACTCCCCCACAGCAGACAGCCCCCAGCCCTCTGAGCAAACCGCTCCATCTAACAACGCAGCAAGCATGGAGGCAACAGCCGAAGTGCACGAAGCACCTAACCTTGACGAACAAGGCACAACACACACGAGACCGTGTCAGGCTAACCACCAAGGCCCAAATGGTTCTGACGTGAACCAAGCACAGAGCGTGCCCAATCCACAACCACAATGTAAAGCTGGGCGCAAAACCTGCGACAATGTCAAAATTGCCTCCCTAAACATGCAAGGAAGGTGGCACGGCAACTCTGACAAATGGCCGCATATAAATCAGTTAGTAAAGGAACAGAAAATCGGGATATTATGCCTACAAGAAATGCACCTCTCAGATGAAGAAAAAGACACCCTGAACTCGTCCCCGGGACTCCAAATCCACGTCATATCCTCAATAGATCCAACCCACCCCAATGCTAAAGGAGTAGCAATCATTATAAATAAAAGACTCCTAGGTACAACAGGAATCAAAATGCACCAACTAATCCCCGGCAGAGCCCTCCTATCAGTCATCCCTTGGCGTGATGACAACCCTATCAAAATTCTGGCGATATACGCCCCAAACGATACTCAACAAAATCAGTACTTCTGGGACCATGTCCAATCAAAATTGAGAAGCCTACCAAAACCTAATATAATGTTAGGTGACTTTAATATAGTAGAAGACGCACTAGACCGCTTACCACCCAAAGCTGACCCCCCCGGCCCATCTACCTTGCTGCATGAACTTAAGACCCACCTGCACCTCAAGGACGGATGGCGACACGAGAATCCAGACTCCCTGATCTATACGTTTGCTCAATCAGCATTACAAGGGGGTAGCCAATCCCGCATCAACCACATCTACCTCGACAGTGAGCTCCTACCATACAGCAAAGAGTGGGATGTCTCACCCCCCGGCATCCACACAGACCACCAACTGGTCTCCGCTAGAATATCTAGCAAACGAATGCCCTACGTAGGCAAAGGCCGCTGGTCACTCCCTCTCTATGTCCTCAAAGATGAAGAACTTGGCGACAAAATCCTTGATCTAGGAAGGACACTTCATTGTGAGATCAATGAATCAAAAGACCAACACACCAACGAATTGAACCTGCAGACAGCATTTAGCCTCTTTAAACAAGAGACAATTAAGCTTTGTAGAACAACTGCGAAAAAACTAATCCCCAAAAAGAAGAACAAACTAAGAGCGCAGCAAAAAGCCACTCTAGACGACCCGAACCTTTCGACTGAAGACAAGAAGGTGGTGAGCCTACACATACAAGAAAAACTAAATCAGCTGGAAATCATGCAACACGAAAGAGCGAGAGACCACTGAAGGTACAACAATTCAGATGGTGAGTCTGAACAATGTTGGGTCTTGCAGAACCTAGCTGCTATTCGACCCTAAAGGGTTTCTGGACCAGGCTCAAGGCTCAGAGGAGAGGAAATATCATGAAAAACTGCTGAAGACTCAGACTCATACTGATAACTGGTGAAAAGATAACTTGCTTATGTAAGCTACAAAAGTGCCAACATAAGGTAAGGTAAAAACAGTCTCTACAAGCCCAGCCAGAAATGAATCCCTACATCTCATGGGAACTTTGAATCATGACTGTCCCCAGTCATCTATCTATGCAAACCAAAGCTAAGCTAAACTAAGAAAACTACTAACCTGGGGGTCCTCAAACACCTTTTGTTTCCTTGACGCGTATGCCAGGTAAACTGCGCCAGTGAGTGAGGGTCAGGGCAATCCAATAAAACGATGACCCCAGCACCTGTTTTCCCTGACATCTCTTGTGCCAGGCGAACCGCATCAGTACTGGGGGACTGGTAAAACGATAAAAACGATAAAATGCGAAGTGGTGGTTGCGCGGATGACGACAGGAAGTAGACGGATCGAAAGAGGCGAACGAGGGCTTCGAAATGAGTATAGGGTCGACTAGGTTTGGTGAAGAACTGAGGGAGATATGAAGGAAATGGTGAAAACATGCGAAAATAGCGAAAACGGCGAGTAGCGAGGGCGCGGGTGGGCGTATTGGGAAGCGGAGCGGATGGATGGAAAGCGGCAGTTAATGCGGTCAGAACGCGCCTAAGGCGATGGGCGCGCGATCACGGGGCGCCGAGATATAAAGAAAATGCAAAAAATGGGGCAAAACAAATGGGGGGAACGCGAAAATGCGGATAGCGAGCGAACAGCTGAGCGCGCGAAGGCGCGGATATGCGCGAATGAAAGCCATGAACGAGGGCTTCAAAACGGGTATAGGGTCTATGGGGTTCCGATGCGAAATGGGCTGGTGAAAGTGCGAAAAAGTGCGGAGGTGCAAGAGGGAGGAGGAGGAAGGGGTATGATGCAGGGCAACAAGGGCTGGTCCTATCAAAAAGCGGATTGGGGCAATGGACAGAGCCACTGAGGGATGGTAAATGGCCAAAAGAGCTAGATGAGACAGGCCTTTGAGCACCCAGAAAACCCTTATCTCCCCTCAACTTCTCAAAAACACCAAAAACTCAATAACTCCACAACTACTGCTCCAAATTCGATGAACCAGGGCTCAAAATGATCGGACGGATGTGGGGAATACGACCCTAAGTTTGCGAGAGATCCGCTCGAAAAACGCGTGGGAAAAACACCTATCAGTGCGCTGGTGAGGAGGACAAGATGCTGAAAAGTGGGAATTGTGGGAGAAGCTGGTAATGAATGACTGTGGTAGGATAATAGGCGAATTTGGGGGATGATTGGTGAGCTGGAAGAGCCTAGAAACACAAGAAACCCTCGCGGTGGGCTCCAGTTGAAGGTACAACAATTCAGATGGTGAGTCTGAACAATGTTGGGTCTTGCAGAACCTAGCTGCTATTCGACCCTAAAGGGTTTCTGGACCAGGCTCAAGGCTCAGAGGAGAGGAAATATCATGAAAAACTGCTGAAGACTCAGACTCATACTGATAACTGGTGAAAAGATAACTTGCTTATGTAAGCTACAAAAGTGCCAACATAAGGTAAGGTAAAAACAGTCTCTACAAGCCCAGCCAGAAATGAATCCCTACACCACCTTAACACCAAGATACGCCTGGAAAGTGAATCGGCGACCAGTAAATTTTGGGCGAGGTCTGGCAAAGAACAAAAGCCTCGAGACGCCATCATCGAGCTGAGAAAACCAACCTCAGGCATGGAAAACCCATCCTATGAACAACGATCAGATAAGATGGCCGAATTAGCGAGAGACTACTATGACGTACTACAAAACGAAGACTTAGCCTCAAACAACGAAAGAGCCGAGGCATTTGAGTCGGTCCTTAATACAGTACAAATTAAATTATCTCAATCAAACAAATCAGAATTAGAGAAAAACCGCACCAAGGAAAACATCGAGGAAGTACTACACCTCCTCCCAAATGGCAAAGCGCCAGGGATTGATGGCGTCCCTTACAAACTTTGGAAGTGGCTACATCAGAAATCTAAATCAGCATCTGCAAACTCCAAAGAGGGAGAACAACCATTTGTTTTTGTGGAATGCCTCACGGCCGTCTACAACGACATTGAGATGCACAGAGTGGCCCCAAACTCGTGCTTTGCAGAAGGTCTGCTAAACCCTCTACACAAGAAGAAGGACCGCAGAGAGATCGCGAACTATAGACCGATAATCCTACTGAACTGTGACTATAAAGCATTCACTAAAGCTCTAGCACTTAAGTTGGCACGCACCGTCCCATCAATCATTCACGAGAACCAAGCTGGGTTTGTACCAGGTAGAAGCATAACAGACCAAATCCGCCTAACTCAAATGATAATGGAATATGCAGAGGCCGAGGAAGCGAACAGCGCGATTGTTGCCCTAGATCAAGAGAAGGCATACAATAAAATTTCCCATGACTACCTGTGGAAGGTACTAGAGAAATACAACTTACCGGAGAACTTCATTACAACCATTCAATCCCTATATCAACAAGCGGAAACATCAGTAATGATCAATGGCAAAATAAGCTCAAAATTTAAAGTCACCAGAGGGGTGAGACAAGGCGACCCACTATCCTGCCTGCTCTTCGACATTGCGATTGAACCACTGGCAGAGATGTTGAGACGTTCAGAACTGAAAGGCTTCAAAGCCAAAGAAATGGCTTACCGTATCATTGTCACGATGTTTGCCGATGATACCACAGTCTACCTGATGGAACAAGATGACTTCGGCACTCTAACCGACATCCTTCAATGCTGGTGCAGAGTGTCAGGAGCAAAATTCAACACATCAAAAACTGAAGTCATACCTATAGGCACCAAAGCATACCGAGAAAGGGTAATAACCACGAAGAAAATCAATGACACCTACAACTGCCTACCGGACAATATCAACATAGCGAAGGATGGAAAAGCTACAAGAATCCTGGGGGCATGGGTCGGGAACAGCGTCGATGAACAGGCAATATGGTCCCCTATCCTCGAAAAGATCGAAAACTCCCTAATGAGATGGGAAAAATGGCACCCTACAATAGAAGGGTGAAAAATTATCATACAACGCACTGTCGGGAGTATGACTCAATACCTGACAATGGCTCAAGGGATGCCAAAGGAGGTGGAAGACCTCCTCGCGAAATGCTCCCGCAAGTTTGCATGGGACAGCGGAGGAAACAACTCTGTCAGTATGGGAATTCTTCATGCTCCGATCAAAGAAGGAGGAAAGAACATACTCAATATAAGAGACCGCAACGAGGCGATCGAACTCAAATGGCTACAAGGCCTCCTGGCGCCACAGGACACTAGACCACAGTGGGCGTTCTTTGCCCATGCCTTGATTGCGAAGACAGCACAAGGCTCGCCCACCGTCAAACCAGACTCCAGAATCTGCTTGTTCCTTCAAACTTGGGCCCCAACGCAGAAAAAACTCCCAACTCACCTAAGACGGATCCTTAAAGCCACTAAGAAATACAATTTGAGATGGGATGCAATCTCCATCAAACCAGAAATCGCAAGAAAGCTTCCTGTGTGGTTCCATTTAGGAGCATCAAGCGACTTAAATAAATTAAATAATCACCTTTACGCCAACTGCTTAAGACAAGTGCATAAGGTATACACAGTCGGTCAACTGGAAAACTTAGCCCGAAGGCAAGACCCGGACCACAAGAAAAACAAGGAGTGCCCATGCAGCCACTGCTCCCTAGATAGATCCATACAATGCAAGAAACCCTTCAAATGCATGCAACTAATGAAGAGAATACTTACCTGTATACTCCCTAAATGGAACCCCGCGACGTGCACAACTCCATACATGCTCACCATCTCCCCCGAACAATTCACCACTATCGGAAACGATCAGGACGACCAGGACCAAACCCCCTGCATCTTCAACCCCGTCCTTCCATCACCAGAAACACTCGACGAGGGCTTCAGAATATTCTCGGCCTCTGACCCTCCCTGTACAATCCTGGCCAGCCAGACAAAAGTCCACCAAAGGGCTCCCCCGGAACTGATTAAAATCACAATCACAGGCACCCATAATGTCAATAAGGATGGAGACCACGAATCAGGTGGGAGTGTTTGGTTCAGAACCAGAGATACCTGCAACCTGTCAATCAAAATACCAGAAGAACTAGCAGCCCCTGGCACAGGAGAAGCTGGAGCATTACTCACCGCAATCACAATGCTACCATCTAACGCCTCCATACAACTAGCAATGAAGTCTATCGCACTAAGGAAAGACCTGACCTCCAACCTCCCAAGGCTTGAAGACATAAACTGGACTGCGCATCCCCACAGCAGGATACTGAAAGCCTTAGTCGCACAGCTGCGCCCTAGAAGCGCCCTAGTGTCCTTCGCCAAATGGAACAGCGCAACCCCGAAGCACGTCTCTGATGAAATCCTAAGTCTAACCCAAGCTAGCCTCCTGAAAGAAAAACATGACCCTATACCAATGGGAATCCAAGAGCCACTGAGACTCACTGGCATGAAACTAACAGCCGGATCACAAAGACTCTTCTACCTAAACATCAGGCAAACGCACAACCCCACCAAAGAAAGAAGACATACAGTGATGAACATGGCACTAACCCAACACACTGTCCTCGAGATCTCCGGTAAGATGCCATCACAGGAACAAGTATGGATGTCAATCAGAGATTGAGATATCCCAAAATCCATATGAGGATTCCTCTGGAAAAGCATCCACGGAGCGTACAAGATTGGGGAATTCTGGGAAAAGATCCCAAACTACAAACAGAGAGGTCAATGCGGCCTATGCCAATCACCAGAATCAATTGAACACATACTATTAGATTGTGACTCCCTAGTCTCACGCACCATCTGGAAGGCCGCCAGGGATCTATGGTGTAAAAGAGAGGTAAGCTGGCCAAATATATAATTCGGAACAATACTAGGTAGCAACCTAATTACCTTCAATAACGAGAGTGGCAAGAAAATGACGGGCAAGAGTAGACTCTTCAACATACTAGTGCTGGAATCTGCCCACCTAATATGGAAGCTAAGATGTGAGAGGACAATCAAATACAAAGGCATCAAGGAGAAATTCCACTCCGAAACGGAGATTTACAACAAATGGCTACACGTGATCAACACAAGGCTGAAATTCGACAGATTGCTCACCGACTCAAAGAGGTACGGGAAGAAAGCGCTCAAAGTAGAGACAGTATTAAAAACATGGAGCGGTTTACTACTACACGAAGATAACCTTCCGGACAACTGGGTCCACAATACAGGGGTTTTAGTGGGTATGGCACCTCGCCGTCCTCCAGGACGGAATAGGTAAATCCAAACCAGGTGCTGAGTCCCACACTGCAATTGCATACATAAAGTATTTCCCCTAGGTGACTATCTATTTTACACACACGGGTGCAATCCCCATCCCCCCAATGTATTTACTAGAGCTGACCTTGTCAGCTGCTAGCAGATAACATTGTTCCACCAAAAAAAAAAACATTATATAAATAAAGATACAGTCAAGCTGCAAGCTAACACTTGATGACATGATACAAATACAGATGCAGTCAAGCTGCAAGCTCAGTCTCGATGACACAATACAAATACAGATACAGGCAAGCTGAAAGCTCGGTGTAGCACTCGAGCTTGTGCTAGACTCATATTCAGCTATTTCACGATCCATGTCAAATGCCCGTTGCACAATAATCACTTCCTGATGTAATCCAACACTTTAACATTGGACCTGACACTTTGACTAGTGGACCCAACATTTCGGCCACAGCAGACCCGATATTTTCCTGTGCTCTTGTCCTCTCCATGTCCCATTCTGTCTTGCTAGCCCCACTAGGTGCATAGTTGATTATTTCACACATTACTCACATCACAGCAAGCACTATTACATGTTTTCCCATAGTCTGCAGCGCCTCGTGTTTATTTACATGTACTTTGGACCCAAAATATTCTGCCGCTACTTTCACCTAGGGGTTTCTGGATTTCTACATACTTACATATATATTGGACTGACTTTGAGCATTATTCATTATTCAAGTAGTAGGGAGCTGTTTCCTGACACTTTGTGGTCAAACCCAATATTTCGTAGTTCTTAGTTGACATTGTGAATTTTACCACTCTTTCTATCTGAAATACCTGTCATTATCGATAATCCGCATACCACTTGCTTTCCCAACATTCACTATCACTATTCTCTGTAATCTGCTGAACCCAAACCCAAACCCACTAATCCGCTAACCTGAAAACATCGGACCTGACACTTTGGCATCAGACTCATAATTATACCTTTGGACATTGTCTCCCGCACTCAGACTTTTGACCATTTATTTATTCACTAACTTAGGACTAATACCAGATAGCTAACCCCTCAGGTCAAACACACTTGTCTTCCAAATATAGCAGACTAGGCTGTGCAAGACCACAACACTTATATTTTGCTGGGTGCTCACTTCATGTAGTGTCCAGTGATTGTTGTTTAGTTACAATGAATTTACACTCCAATATAAGCCTGGTGTAGTCAATGATAAGGCTGACTGTCTATCTCAGAGAGAAGACCACAGAAGGGGGGTAGAAAATGACAATTCTGATCATGTTTTGTTAAAACTGGAGTTTTTCACTGTAAAAGCTGCTAAAAGAGGTCAAGTTCTAGTACAAGGAGAGAAACAACTGTTGAGAAAGATAAGACAGTGTACAGAACGAGAACTCAAAGTCACCAACATGTTAGAAACACTAAAAGCAGCACCAGTACAACTACACAGAGGAGTTGAAGAGTGGAATGTTGAGGATAGATTGGTGTTATTCCAAGGACTGGTTTATGTTCCAAACAATAAAGAGATCCACCAAGAGATATTGGAGCTGTTTCACGACTCTCCACTGGCTGGACATCCAGACAAGCCAAAACCTTAGAATTGATTTCCAGAAATTATTGGTGGCCTTCAATGATAAAGTATGTCCACAATTACATAGATGGCTGTGATAGATGCAGAGCGGCAAAGATTCACCTGACACAACCACATGGTCCACTCAAACTGAATGAAATACCAGCAGGACCTTGGCAATCAATCACATATGATTTGATAGTAGATTTGCCTAAAAGTGAAGGGTTTGATTCTATTTTTGTTGTTGTTGATCGATACACAAAACAGACACATATCATGCCTATGAAAAAGGAAGTTGACACTCGAGGAATTGCAAAACTTTTCTTAGATAATGTATGGAAACACCATGGAACTCTGAAACAGGTGATATTGGACAGAGGAACACAATCACTGCGGAAACAAGATTTTAACCCCAATGTAACCAGAGGGTGTTTAGGTGCATAACCCGATGTGGTACAGACGCAAGACCTTTTCCAGACTCAAACTCGATGTGGATGGAACTCGAGCATCTGGGAGTTGTAAGAACACATAAACAGATGCAATCCAAACCTTGGGTTAGAAGTGAACAACCCTAACTTGACCAAATACAGACCTAAATTTTCACCATCATCTCCACCATGTTAATGCTCATAACTCAATGACATCCACCCTCTGGAAAGAGAAAATTTCCAAAACCCAACCTCTGGGTTTATGTGAGGTGAGCTCATTCATTTTTTCTTGCTCAGTCTCTTCAGCAAGAACTGACATGCAAGGTCAAAATGTGGTTCAGCTGCAGCTGCCTTCGGGCACTAGGAGATTTAGCTTCACCTTTGAGAGCGACGAACCTGGGCCTGTAGTAAGTTGACTAAAATTTGTATATTCAACTAATATGTAGGTCTGCAGACACTTGAGGTATCCATCAGGCCTTCGCTCAAATGGCCAGTGCTAGCACTACTACCCGCACCTGACAATAGTGAGATGGAGCCTGAGTCTGAACTTGAAGATACTACCAAAGTGCAACTGGTCTTTAATGTATGCTTCCCTCATTTTTTGAATATTATAACTAACACATATTTTACCCAACTAGACTTGCATCAAGCCTATGGGTGCAACAGGAGTCAGTTTGAAGGATTTGAAGGATGTAAAGAGAGCTGAAACTACCTCAAAGCATCACAAGACCACTATGTAGTAGAACATTTACCGGAATCAAATTATTATCGTGAACTACTACATGTCTTCGAGTTGTAAGTATAACAACACGTGATGCTTGCTTTGACACGTCGAAAAGCATGCATCAACAAGCTTTGACTTCACCATGTCATCTGCAGGCCTCAAGAAAGTGCGTTATCGAAGATGCCATTGCCAGAAGCACAAGTGCAACAGAGCACTTGTTCAAGAACATATAGCTCGCGCTCACAAACGAAGCAAACTCTGTTCGAAAACCAATGTGTCACAAGTCCACTACAAGCGTGTTGGAGAACACATCGTTCCTACTGCTATTTGAGATGCAGGCCCCGTTCCTCATGGGTTCACTATTCCTTTACATGAACTACAGCTCCCATTATCACCGGATGTCACATTCCAGGATCCTCATCGCATTTCTGAATCTCCTGTTGAACAGGAGATGCTAGACTATGATTTTCTTACTGGAGAAGACCTGGATCTCATGACCCATGGTACTGATCTGCCTAATCTTGGTCTGAACTTCCATAGCCCCAAGGCGCTACACAATGCTGTTGATCACTTCAGTGCATATAATGCAGCTACAAGTTCAGGCTCATGGCCCTTCACCTCATATGAAGCCCATCACCTTCCACCTGATCCAGAACAGCATGCATTAGATCAACAGATTGAAAAGGCTGTTGAGGAGCTACATCGTGAAGAGAATCAGCTTCTGCAAGAAGCTGAGGATAATCTAGATCATCTCAACATTGATGTTGATGCACATTTTGATGATCCAGACGAGGAAGAAGATATGGAGACAGCAACCACCAATGATATTGATGAGGATGACCCTGATCCATTCATATCTAATGAAGGCTTTAGCACGACAAATGATCAGAACCTCGCTGATGTTCCCCCACACTTACTCAATATCTATGTGGTTGTCTCTTGGCTGCACCTCCAATTCCACCTCCCTCATGTGGCTTGCAATGCATTATTAACAATATTTGCTTGCATCCTCATTGCTCTTGCACCAACTATCAATGTCCCTTTTGTAACACTGCAGTCCAGTAATCATGTCCTTGGTGTCGACACTACCATTTTCACACTCCCTGTTTGCCCTACATGCTGTGATGTATTTCCTCCTGCAATGTCGACAAAATGGCACGATACATGCAAAAATTGTGGGGTCAACATCTTTCTTCCTGGTACAACGCAACGGGGGAACTTACATGCTGTCAAAATGCCTATCATCAAGTATCCTTACCTGCCTCTATCCGAATAGATCAAATCTCTTCTCAAAATTCCTGGTCTTGAGGCTGTGCTTGATGGTTGGCGCAGTAAACCTCGCACGATTGGTAAATATACTGATATCTTTGATGGTGACACATGTCGCACAAAACTCAAGGGTCCTGATGGTAAACTCTTCTTTTCGAATCTCCCTCACGAGCAACATGGCCCAGATGGTGAACTACACATTAGAGTGAACCTTGGAGCTGATTGGTATGTTGTTTATATCCTTGTTGATATTTCACTGCTCATGTGAATTTCCATTGCCAGGTTCTCATATATCAGAAGTAATATTACACCATCACACTCATCAGCTCCCACATTGTTCTCAATATGTAATCTACTACCTGAATATCAGTAAGCCTTGTTCACACCCAATAGGTTGATATCTTTTGATGGTATTTCTTTACAAGCTATCGCACATCTAATCTGATGTGTACAAGTATCCTCCCTGGGCCGAAGAAGCAGAATCCCGACCAGATCCAACAGTTCTTACAGCCCATCATATCAGATTTACTACGTCTATGGAGAGTTGGAATCAAAATTCCAACCAAATCTTGTCCACAAGGTAAGTCTGGTTACTTATCATCTGTCAGTGTCGACTCATTTTGCTAGGACACCTTGTTTGTGTGATTTTGGTTGCAGTTGTTTGTGATAAACCAGCTGCACACAAGCTGGGTGGATTGGCATCTCACTCCCACACTAATTTCTGTACTGTATGTTAGATAATGATCACACATAAAGATAAACTACAGGCATTTCAATAAGGAGGTATGTTTGCATTATCATATGTCACTATTGTCCATTAATATTGTTCAGCTTTTTGGCCACAAACAAATGAAGAACAACAGGAACTTGGTGAGCGCTACCACAGGCTGACTACTACATCTGCTCGCAAGAACTTTGTGAAGGAACATGCTACTCGATACACACAGCTATCACGTCTACCATACTTCAACCTTGTCGAACAGATTGTCATTGACCAAATGCACAATCTTTACCTTGGTGAGTATCTTAGCTTCCTACAATTAATCTGGCGCTGATTATGCTTGATTCAGGCCTTGTTAAGACCCATTTTTACAACATATGGGTCCAGGGAAAGATTCTTTGTGCTAATCATGAGCTTGACGTCTTCCATGACATGCTTGCCGATGTGAGGCTAGATCTCATGTGTACATCCAACACTAACAATCAATCAAATTCACAGTTTATTGTCCTGGGATCATGTGGCAAATTACCAACTGACATCAGTATGCCATCAGGTGATTCACTAACAGCAGATCAATGGCTGCTTCTCGCCACTGTCTACGGTCTAATCATAGTATATACTTCTGATAGTTTGATCAGTTCTTGACTCACTGAACTATTTATGTTCTAATTAGATCCCGCAGTTATGGAGCTCTTGTCTTCCAACAGACATGGATGACGAGATTCTGCGTCAATGTGTTACCATGATTAAGAGGGCTGAGGCTGATAAGGAGGCAGATGCGAAGTCCAAGGCTGAGCAGAAAGCCACCCTTGCTGCAGTCAAAAAGCAAGGAAAGGAAGCACTCGAAGCTGAAAAGGCCTGGATTGCCCATGAGAAGCTTGCACTGTCAGAAATGAAGAAACAGGAAAAGCTCCGACTTGCAGCTGCCAAACAGGCTGAAAAGGTCAGAATTGGAATTGCAGCTGAAAAGAAAGCGAAGGCTGCAGCCAAGAAGGTAATACTGTGTTCACTGTTATCAACCCGCTTACAATTATGATTAGGCCTCAAAAAAGCGCAAGGCGACCTCACAGATTGTTGAAGATCTTCCTGAAGGACAAGTACGGCCATTACCACCACCACCACCACCACCGTGTCTCCTTCCTACATCCAAGCTGCTAACAGAGCCTGTGCAGATGCAGCTGGCAAAGAAGAAGCAAAATTCTTACTGCACCCTGATGATTTAGCTAATTTCTTAAAGCTATGTGCAGCACTGCACATTTTGAGCAAGTGTTCACTATGTGATCAGGATGTAAGCTGAGCTAAGCAACTTATCTTTGAATACACCACTGAGCTAATACATGTAAGTCTTCCTCACTTAACTGACATTTACTGACATGCTTTTACTACAAGCTGTATGGTTCTGGCTCGGTCAAACCTAACCATCACTTTGCGACCCATATCGGTGCTTGTGTGCAATTTTGGCCCTCTCCATGATTTCTGGACTTTCCTGTTCAAGCACCTCAACAAGTTGTTGAAATTGTACAAGACCAACAACCATTTGAATGGTGCACTCGAAACAACCTTTTTCACGGAGTTTCACAGGACTTGTGAGCTTGGACGACTGGTAAGTTGTTGAATCGTTAATGTGCATCTCAACTAGTAACAATATCCATAGATGCACACATTACAGCATTATCCTAAGGATTCCCTTCCAAGTCAGACATCATCAATCATACTGAAGGCCTCCAATGACGAGAGAAGAACAGTGGCTAGACTTGCAGCATTGTCAAAAGACCTTGACGATGCTGGTGCAGACAGTATGTTGAGTTCTCTTACATTTTGTTATGATGACCATCTCAGAAAACATATTTAGCTGGTCTGGCTTATTCACTTAGTCCTCGACACTGAAAGCGAGGAATGTCCACTGAGACATATCAACTACTTGCATCCACCCTCTGCTACCATTTTCCTTTGACTCCAGTTCATTGTTGTTTTGACCATGCTGTCGTACCTCATAGCCTCCCACTTGATCACGATGCAGTCTTTTTTAACTATGTTGTGATTGATAGTAAGCGCTACTATGCTTCTAGAGCTGTTGGGACAACCATTCTTCTCTTGTTCATGTCATCATCCCTGGTACAACTGTGATTCATGCTTATGGTGAGGTTCTCGAAATCTTTCAGTTTAATCAAAGGTTTCGTAATGTGGATGACTCACTCTAGTTTGCCTGCTGTAGCACTTGAGCTCGCACTATGCTCGTATTCAGCTGATTCATGATTCATGTCAAATGCCCATTGCACGATAATCACTTCGCACTCAATCCGACACTTTGACAGCGGACCCGACACTTTGACTAGCGGACCTGACATTTCGGCTGCAGCGGACCCGATATTTTCCCGCACACTTGTCCTATCCGTGTCCTGGCCTGTCTTGCTAGCCCCACTAAGTGCATAGTTGATTATTTCACACATTACTCATGTCACAGCAAGCACTATTACATGTTTTCCCATAGTCTGCAGCACCTCATGTTTATTTGCATGTACTTTGGATCTGAAATATTCTGCTGCTACTTTGCCTATGGGTTCCGCATTTCTATGTACTTACATATATATTGGACTGACCTCGAGCATTATTCATCATCCAAGTAGTAGGGAGCTGTTCCCCGACACTTTGTGGTCAAACCCGATATTTTGTAGTTCTTAGTTGACATTGCAAATATTACCGCTCTTTCTATCCAAAATACCTGTCATTATTGATATTCCGCATACCGCTCGCTTTCCCGACACTCGCTATCACTATCCTCTGTAATCTGTTGAGCCCACACCAGAAACCCGCTAGTCCACTAACCTGAAAACATCAGACCCGACACTTTGGTGTCAGACTCGTGATTATACCTTCGGACTTTGTTTCCCACACTCAGACTTTTGATCACTTACCATTTCACTACTTACCAACTAACACCAGATAGCTAACCCCTTGGGTCGAATGCACTTATCTACAAGTATAGCAGACTAGGCCACACAAGAGCCGAGAGACCCAACTTCCATCCCTTATCAACCCTGACTGGATCATTGGCCACCTGGGGATAACCACAGTATCAATTGAAAAGGACAAAGCAAAAGTTTGGGCGACAATTGATCTTAAAGGTATGTGCTCCGTTCATCACAACTTACTTGACAACTATTCATTGAATCACAGTCATCAACACTGATACATGACAGGCTTATGGTACAAGTAACAAGCTGGCACTTCGTGATTTGAATTGCGCTGACCCACTCACAGTACTATTCAAGATAGTTCACTGGTTATTGCACTCATCACCTTCATCACCCTTTTGTTTGTGCCACTCCCCCAGCTCTTCCAAGTACTCGTAGTCCTCCTTTATCAGATCATCTCTTGTCAATGAAGCCCAGAATCCCTTGAGCCACAGAACTCCCTCAAGCATCTCCATGTCCGGATGGCTATTCTTCCAGCTGTCCACAACCATGTTTTCAAACGGCAAGTTCTTTTTGTCAGATGACAGTGCGTCTTCATTCATTTGCTCTGGGCTGATGTCAAATGTCTTTTTCATGATTCTCTTTGACCTAGTGCCCCCTTCTGCAGTTTTGTGACACTTTTGTGGAGGCTGAATGGTGTTTATTTCGTTAGTGTTTGCAGTGGTAGCTTTGTTGTTCCCCTTCATTTGTTGCAAAGTGAGGAAGCACAAAAATGCAACATACTGATTTATATTTAGTGAGCTATAACCATGCCTAGATGCGAAGGACTTACATTGCTGGATCACCACTCTAATCATACAACCATATTTGCTGAGTTCCCTGCTCCTGACTTTGTCCACCTGGTTAATGTGTCTTCACTTAAGTCGTCTTCTGAGTAAGATAAAATGTCTGATGTAAAATCAGTATCAATCATTGCAACTGCACCCTCCCTCCCTGTCTCTTTCTCATAGATAACTGCAGTTGCACGACAGCTCTTTGTAACCTGGTGATTTGGGTACATCATATGTTTCACATGCAAAGCACAATACTTACTGCTACACGACATTCCCTTTGACGTCCATGTTTCTTCTTGAGCCCCTTCAGTAATTTTTTTCTGATATATAGGGCCACCTAAAGTTGATAATCTGCCCAATGAGACAGGTCACCTGAGGTGGGCCCAAATGAAGGTGTACCAATGGAGAGGGGTGGGCCCAAAATATGGTCTAGTGGTCCATAATTTAGGAGCGGGCCTAGTATGTGATATAAGTATTGTGCTACCGATATGAATGGCTGGGCCCATACAGTAGTATACTCATACTGATGGGAGGGCCAATATGACTAGGCGAGATATAGGGATGGGCCCATACAATAGTACTACCTATATGATGGTAGGGCCGATATGAGTAGGCGAGATATAGGGATGGGCCCAGGTGCCTGTGCTTCCGAGATGGATGGATGGACCCATACAATAGTACAACCTATATTAATTAATAGTAGGGCCAATATGAGTAAGCAATATATAGGGATGGGCCCATACAACTGTACAATCTATATTAATTAATAGTAGGGCTGATATGACAAGCCAAGATATAAGGATGGGCCAACTACCAGTGCTGCTGAGGTAGACTGCTGGGTCCGCACAATAGTACTACTGTGATCCAAGAGCTCAGAATTTCTTTCCTCCAGAACGTATACACAACCTGACCCATGCCATCTAAACACATGTGGACCCGGGATTATTTCCTACCGAGATACATCATCAGCCAATATGGAAGAACGCAGTCAGTTTACTGTGGACAATGGCAGCTTTGAATAACTGCAGCCATGAACCATTCCACAGCTACCTGGAGCTCATCTACATGTAGAAATAACCTTCATTACGACCAGGGTACATTGTCCTGGATGCTGATACCACCGAGATTGTGTCATAGCCCACGGCCAAATTGGGATAATAACTATCAAATCACCCAAATACATGTACTACTGAGATCACAGTGCAGCTGGCTATGCAGGGCCTGTTGAAGGGCTTCCGCAGTTATGAAAACCGAAGAAGTTCTTCAACAGGTCCTGCACCCCAACTAGAAACACTGGTAGCAGAACCACACATGAAGTGGTATGAATGAGTGCATGGCAAGGAATGACATGTAAATGACAAGGGAATGAATATGGTGTATTGTGATGTAAAAAAGGAGGGACAGGTGTGAAATGTCTTTAAGATGTAAGTGGCAAGCAAATGATCAAGGTAGGGATAGTGTATTGATAAAATACTGGGGGTGTAATGTAAGAAAGGGGGAAGAGGTGTCCATTATGATTGATCAGGCCGGACATGTCAGTCCAAGTGTGCCATACCTAATGAAGTCGGCCTGATTGTACTTAACATGCTCATACATGGCAAGGTCAAGCAGGTTGTACTTGGCATATTCCAGGTGTGGGGTTCAGGCATAGTTGTAGATGCTGTCACGGACAAACCAGGCCCAAACAATCCTGTTGCCCTCATCCACCTGAACCCCGTGTCTAATGAGTCGTCCCGAGTAGCCCACCATGACGCTAGAATCATATGCTATGTCGATTCCAAGGACGTCATGTGCATCTTTGGTTGGTTTTTGCACAAGTTTCTTTTGTCAATGTGTCTCTTTGTCATGTGAGTTTGTTTTGTTTGTCCTATGTGATATACTGACTAGTTCTTGGACATCTTTTTTTGTCAATGTATCTCATTTGCTGACATGTCTCTTTGTTAATATGAGTTTATCTTTGTGTGGCCTTGTGGTATACTGACTACTGGCACTCTTTATTCAGTGGATCTTTTGTCAGCGCCTCTTTTTGTCAGCGCTGCTCTTCTCTAATATGTCTTTTTGAATGTGAGTGTCCTTATTTTGTTTTTGTGTAGTGCATGCAACTCTGCTAATACTGACTACAATTCTAGTATTTTGCACACTCTCCCCTCATCAATCATGGCCCGCACCAAGAATACCACCAAGAAATGTACTGGTGGCTCAGTGCCACACGTCCTCCTCAAGATCTCAAGAGTGCAACTCTCTGGAGGGGACCACCAGAAAATGAAGGCTTTGAGCGCCACCAGGGGTGCCTTACCTGTGGGAGGTGGGGACTTAGAGAAGAGGAATGGTCAGCATGAGGTTAGTCTATGTTCTCTATGTTGCCTGTCTTCTATCTGATAATTCACTTTATCTTTCTTATCAAGGCTTTGACCGCCACCAGTAAGGACTTAGAAATGAGAAGTGCCCACAATGAAGTGCGCACATTCTCTCACTCCTCTATTTGCTAATGTACATTGTTCTTCTTCTTATAGTATTATATACTTTGCAGGGATGGTGCAGGGTGCTATGGAGACAATACTCTCTTCATGTGCACTCTGTGTCCCAGGGTCATTTGCAGGCTCTGCCTGCAGCTGCTGCCTGACATAGAAACCAAAATCCTACAAGAGGACGTCTCATTTAGATGCATTTGTTGCCATATTAAGATGGAACAAAGTGCTGCCTACTTTGTGAGTATTTTTTTTCATTTGTTCATGCCTCATTGATAACATCACATCACTACAGAGTTTCTATAATAGCAATGGCCTTCCCTTCTTGGACAAGTTCCTATCTGTCAATGATGCACTTGAGGTGTCTGCCCAAGCTGAAATATCGGCAGCTCCGGTCATTTTTATTCACCTTATCCTCGTCGACTTCAAAGTGGCTGGTAACCCTTTTGAGTTTGTTCACAGCTTCCTTAAGCCTTACTACTCCGGCGATGCTTATTTCATTTACTGAGAGGGTTCTCATTGGGCTGTGCCCACTTCGGTTGGCTTTCAAGGATATGCTCTTACAGTCATGGGACCTTGGTAGCCACTCTGATATATTTCTATTGACCACTGTCAAGGAGGGCGGCCTTAGTATCTCTAGGTTTGCATGGGCTAATGTGGAGGTCCATCCTTGGGGCAACCCCCTACCTATCTAATGTAGTGGGTGTGGTAGGGTTAATTCTTGGAGGTCTGCTTATGTCAAGGACAGCAAGACTTACATTTTTGAGTGCAAAAATGACTCTTGCAAAGTAAGCCACACATTCTCTCAGCCACCAGGGTCCACAGTACTCTATTCTGGTAGGAAGAATGATAGTACCTGCTTGGATATTCCATTGAAGGCGCACTTGGCTTAATTTACATATTTTTCTGCAATATTTGTCTTACACTGTTCTGAGTTTCAGTAATTTTTTTTCATGTCTGAATCTTGATATTGAGTGTATTGTTAAGAATGTGCTTAAGGGTTGAATCCGAAGGGCTTGGCTTCAGCTCATGCGCTGCACCCCTTACCTGAGTACATGCCCCTAACTTTCGAGGGCTAATGGATGTCGTCCGGAGTCCAGAGTCTGATGAGCAGGAATTCCGGCAGACATTCAGGAATGAGTGATAAGACTAATCCAGACAAAGTCTAAACTAGAAAGGAAACAGCGGAGGACTACTAGAGGTAGAGGCAGAGGTGGTAAGTCAATAGGAGTCGATCCTAAGACTATTGGAGAGCGACAAGAGGAGACTCAAGTCGGACAGAGGAGGGAATGAGCAGAATCTAAGATGATATTTGAACTGAGAAAATACAGAGACTTTACAGGGTTTATATACTACAGAGAACATAACAGAGAATCAGTCAGCGCAGTGCAAAGTTATGTGAGGCTATGGACAGAGCATGTGGAACACCTAACACTAGTCTATTGGAACTCAATAAAATGAAGATAGAAATTAAGAAGGTACAGAAATTAAGCATAGTTGGTTATAGATATAACCGGATGACTGGAAACAGGGGCTAACTGAGAAGGGACATACAAATAGGGAAAAGATCCAGAAGATAGAAGCTGACTGGATCCGGATGTCCGGAGATGATTGTGTGATAGATCCAGGTCCAGAATGCGGGATATGACATATATAAACTAATGTCATTAAGTCTGAGTCGGTCAGATGTACTCATGTGATTTGAATCATGTGACATGGTTTGCTGACCTGTTGCCAAGGGAGTTGTGGACTGGTTGCACTTTCTGCAAACTTATACTGGCCTATGTTCTTGAGATTTTTGCATATAATGACTGACTGGATGCATGTATTCAAGAGTGTTTTGGATAAGCACAAGATTGCCTATGTTTCTGCCAAAGGAAACACAGCCAAGAGGGCTACAATCCTCAAAACCACCAAGGATACTTCTATTATGCTTCCAGACAAAAACTTTTGGAAGGTAGGTTTCTAGTGTCTTTATATCTATAGTAATCTAATTTTATAGGCTATTTGTACATATTACTTGTGGTTCCTGGAGGAAAAAATCATACAGGAAGGTCATCAACTCCATGATCGAGGGAAGGGAAAAATGCCTGGAACAACCATGTCAGTGTTATGTTTTCTTTTCTCATCAACATTTATATTAATGATTTACTGGCTTAGCTGGGAATCCTATCCCATAGAAGTCAAATAAAACTTTTACTCTTGTGTCCAAAGAAAATAGAAAATGGGCAGGAGAGTCTCAAGACCGCCTTGCTGACTGGCTGACTAAAGTAGAAAAATAAGTCTTAGCTACTATAATCGATTTACTTGTGAATGATCTAGCAGCAGGCATAGACCCTGAAGACCAATCTGGCAAGGAAGATGAGAACTTGTCCGATTTAATAGTGCATGTCAATGATGAGGATTATCCTTGCCTACCAACAGGGTTTGAATCTCTCATGCTCAAAAATCAGCAGAAGGTTGTACGAAAGGTCTTTCAAAAGGCTTATGGTGATTTATTTCTATTTTTGAAGTAGTGTATTTTTCTGACAGCTTATATTTAACAGCGGTCATCTCAAACAACCCTTGGGCTGCAGTCCTTTGGAGTCATATCACTCAGGATCCGGACCATTACCTTGACATGGACTGCATCCCTCGGAATGTCATCATCAAGAATCCTTCTCACCTGTAGAAGGATACCATCAGCACTATTTTTTTATTTTGGAAGTTTCGTGCTAATTGTAATGAACCAATTTTACGATTTATTAGGTATAAGGAAGGTAACTTCTATGATTCTCTGGCTAAGAAGGGCAATGTAAGTCAAAAATCAAGAAAGAACCGAAAATATGTGGAAGTATCAGATAATCAGGACAAGGTACTGAAGAAGGTCCCCCAAGCCGATCTTTCTTCAGACAAAGAGGAAGACTTGACAATAGGTGCAAGCCACACTTTGTCTCTTTCCCATTCCTGCCAGAAATTCCATATGGATGGTGATATAGTCAGTTATCTTCAGTCCCTCTCCACTCTCCCATCATACCATCATCTGTTGGCTACAGTTCAAAAGCTTTCTGAGACAATATGTATAATTCACGAATTTTGTGATACAGCACTGAATTTGACTTGTTTTTGAAAGCAAACTACAGATCTTAAGGGCGAAGCTAGGAAGCAATATCTGTCTTTTGGTCATCTTAGACGTGGTCTGAGGAATATCTACCTCAAAATATGCACTATAATATTCAGGCATCCTTTACTGCTTTGAAGAAACTAGAGAACTATATCATCAGATCTCATGGTTGGAGTATGATTGTTGTCCTTGGACTTGGACTCCTCCTTCGTGAGTGTCATCGTGCTCAGGAGTATGAAGCAGATGAGGCCAGAGATGATGTACCTGAATATTTGGGCGCCTCCATCCTTAGCATTCAGGTATGGGAGAAGATTGAGGAGGCAATTACCAGAATTCAGGCGAAGGTGGAGGTAATGCTGCCAGATGATCATGAGAAGCAGATGTCAGTAAGGGAAGAAGTACATATGAGGTGTCTGAAGAACAAAAGGCAGGTGAAAGAGAGGAGGAAGGCAGAGCAGGCAAGAGTTGCTGCAGAGAAGAAAGCTGCTGAGGAGAAGAGGGCTGCTAAGGAGGTTCAAGTGACTGAGGAGAAGAGAGTGGCTGAGGAGGCTCACATGGCTAAGAAGAGGGCAGCCACATTAAAGAAGGCAAGTGGTACTAAAGCTGGGGGAAAGGAAAGGGTAAGCGGCCAGCAATAAATGTGAATGATTCACCCATGAAAAAGGTGAAGACATCTGCTCCTCCTGCTTCTCCTCATTGTTCTGCCAGAGTGAAAGTACCTTCAAAAAAGTATAAGAACTGAAACACTAGTATTAGCACAATGTCTTAGAATTTTCTTTTTGCAGTTTGTTTTCATATACATTTCAATTTTCATGTCTATATTTATATTAGCACTGAGGATACTTTACTCTATGTATGATATGGTCAATGTAATTTATGCAGGTGGTTGTAATAGGCCTATGTATCTCTGCTGGTTGCACAGGTAGGACAGCCTGCCCAATAAGAACATATTGGCCTATTAGACAAGCCAGTCTGCACCATATGTAGAGCCTGTGCAGCCATCACCTGCTATCATATTGGCCCATTGAGCCAACCAGCCTATGTGGCATGTAGATTAGGTGTGGCTGCCCTACTGATCACATTTTGGCCCATTTGGACAGCCTGTTTGTGCAGCATGTAGGCCAAGGGTGGCCGACCCTTGATAACATATTGACCAATTGGGACAGCTGGTTTGTGCAGCATGTAGGCCTAGGCCGGCCGACCATTCATAATATATTAACTCCTTAGGCCAGCCTGCCTAGTCACCAAGTAAGGAGTGTAGTTGTAGATAGTACTTTTTCTTCTCAATATGTCATAGAATTTGGGTCACCATCTATATCATCCTATATGGGATATATCTTTCATGAGATGAGTGAGGTTGGCTAGACCTAATACTGTATAGAATCTTATGTTAGATTAGAGGTTTAAGACATCCTGCATATCTATCCAGGATGCATGGTAAGTCAGATCTACATTAATATGCTGGTTTCACTGATATAAGTAGTATAGAAATGACATTCTCTATATGAGGTATGAGCTTGCAGGAGTTCTCCATTATTAGCCTACATAGGTAGTGCAGAGACATTATTTTGTGTCTGAGGCACCAGCCCACAAGGATTTTGCATAGCTGGCCTACACAGGTGGTGCATAGGCCAGCCAGTGGAAGGGTGACATATAGACCAAGCAGAAAGGACAAGACAGATGGAATGGGCAAATGCTAGCTACTGACATGCTCTGGCTATATGTACCTATGGACCTCAAGGCTCGGGAAGGACCCCTGACACCTCGGACAGACCCTTGGAAGTCCCTGATGCCAAACCCCCTAACACAACAGAGTGACAGGAAACACGATTCTACTACTCCCAACTATGATATGAAGATCCCACCTGCCACGTATCACGAATAGGGAATAGCACGGGTGAACCCCGGGGTACGAGTGGCGCAACCCCCACCTGTACCCCGCGATATACCCACACCCACGACGTGGGTGTGGGTTTTTTGGTGGGTATGAGGCCAAACCCACCCAGGGTATCACCCACTGAGGGTATACCCATGGGTGGGTACTGTCAATTGTCAAAAAACTACGAGATACACACAAATGTAGTAGCTACTTGATGATAATGCGATCCCACCCATCCTCCAGCTCCAGCTCCTCACCCTCCACATCAGCGAGCATGCTTACAGACATTACGTCCTCAGTCTTGACGAGGTTTAAGTGGCTCCAATAGCCAAGACATAAGAGCGCGCGAGTCGATTGCACATTCAAGCGGGAACGGATATGGGAGAGAATGAGCCGTCCACGGCTGAAAAGCTGCTCAACGTCGACCGAGAAAGCTTTAGTCAAAATTTAGATATCAATTTAACTGAAAAAAGGTTGGCACGTACCAGGAATAGTCAGATAATCTAATGCCATGCGGGAGAGTCGAGGAAAGGTTGCGTGGTGCTCATGCCACCACATGAGGGGATCATCAACATGTTCCACATCGGCATTCAGATAGCGGTCGAGTTCGTCACCAAGGTCGGTCGGTTTTGGAGGTGCGAGTGCAGGTATGTTGTCAAATATATTGTCCTATTGTTATAGTTAGTATACAAGTTAACTTACACAAAATAACTCACCATGGCGCTTTGTTGAGAAGATTCAATCAAGTCCGTATCGTCACTGTCAGAGTCGGCATCTGGCGTGACTAAGTACGAGCGCCTGAACTCATCTCTCACAAGTGTCTCGGCAGTTTGAATCCAGTCATCCTCCCACCCCACATTCTTGAAATACGCGAGTTTATGACGGGGGTGAAGCACTGAATGATAGTGAGCAAGACTACTTGAACTGCAACAGAGCACTTACCCATAGCAATGCGGTACACTTCAGAATGGTCCGTTTTGTCCGTGAGTTTTTTAATACACTTGGCAGCGCCTGAGAAAAATGTGGGATCCATGCTGTGATGATCGTAAGGGCGCTGTGTTTAGGTTTAGAGTTTAAGGTTCATGTCTAATGTGTGTTACTAAGTTTCAAAATAAGTCATGTTTGCTTACATACCCACCACCAGGGTGTGGGTAGGGGTATGGGTACCCAAAGTACAGACCCCCACCCACACCCCAGAGGTACCCACACCCACGACCCACGTGGGTTGAGGATACCCATGCTATTCCCTAATCACGAAGCGGTTCAGCAGACTGATCAGGATCAATGGATGGCGGCTATGAAGGCTGAGCTTCAGATCATGACCGAAATGCATGTCTATCAACTCACCAAACTCCCTGCGGGATGAAAGGCCATTGGTAATTGATGGGTCCTGGAGTTCAAAGATGACAACAAGAGGGGGTCAGCTTACAAGGCTCGGTTAGTAACGCAGGGCTTCTCACAGATTCCCGGTGTCGATTTTGGCGCTACCTTTGACCCAGTCCTCAAGACAGCCTCATTTTGTCTCATCGCTGCACTTTCCTGCAAGCATGACTGGGAACTCGACACTTTCGATGCAAAGCGGGCCTTCTTGTGGGGGGTACTTAAGGAGGAAATATACACGAGGCAGCCAAAAGGTTTTGAGACTGGTGATTGGCGAGTTATGGTTTGGCATATGTTGCGCACTATTTATGGCCTCAAGCAATCAGCAATGAAGTGGTATGAGAAAGTGCATGTCGTCATGGAGGAGCTAGGATTCGCACGTTGCGCTGTTGACTATGTGGTTTTCGTCTTTGACTGTGTTGACAGCTCAGGAGTGTGCACCTTTTGCATTATAGGCTGGCACATTGATGATTCACTCAGGACATCCAACTCACCCAAATTCCTTGCCTTTGTCAAGACTAGAGTCAACACCTGCTTTGGGATTAAGGACCTCGGCCCTGTGGACAAGTTCCTTGGTATCCAGTTTGAGCGAGATCACACCTCTCGGCAACTCTGGATTCAGGCTGAGTATATAACCTACTTGCTAGAAGAGTATAACCTCCTTGATCGCAATCCCGTCAGCCTTCCTCTTGATGCCCATCATCCATTTGGGCATCCCGGGGATCACCACACTGTCGTCATCAACCTCCTGAGCACTTTTTGCAAACTCATGGGTGAATTACTTTATTTTGCTATGTGTACCTGACCTGACATTTCCTTTGCTGTCAATGCACTGGCACAACACAACACAAACACTGCACCTGCTCATTACGCTGCCACAAAGCGTCTTTTGCACTACCTCGCTGGCACCATCACCTTTTGCCTTAAGTATGGTGGTGTGGGCATTGACGACACCCTACATGGGTTTTGCGATGCTGATTGGGCCAGCTCGTCAGAAGATTGTCGTTCTATTTTGGGGTATGCATGGTACTATGCAGGGGGCCTAATCGCCCATGTCTCCAAGAAGCAAGCGACTGTCATGCTATCGTCCACAGAAGCAGAATACATGGCCATAACACACATCATCCAAGAGTGCCTCTGGCTCAAGCCATTACTCACTGCATTGCATATTCCTCTCTCTCTTCCTCTCCTCATTCATATGGATAACATGGGCGCGATTTCACTCTCCAAGGAGGCGAAGAATCACATCCGCTCCAAACATATTGATGTCCGCTATCATTTCATCCGTGTTCATATCGAAAAGAAGACGTTCCTGCTTAAATGGCTTCCTTCTCGCAAAAATACTGCAGATATCTTGATGAAGGCATTACCCTGACCTCTTTTCTTGATGCACGTCATTGGCCTTAGGCTTATATCTCGGTGAGGGTGTGTGTTGGCTGACACATAAGGTACTATACAGTTACACCTTCAACACAAGCCACAGATCCTCCATGTTACATAATTTATACTTAAACATATGCAAGCCTCCGTTGTTACACCTCAGTGTTGTTACCACACTCACTGAGGTATGTCTTACTATATTTTGCACTTAGTCTTGTACTTACTGTAGCCTAGGGATATCTTTCCTAGGTATGATAATATTACAGCATTGTTACCACACTCACTGAGGGATATCTTTCCTAGCCTAGATTCCAACCCCTGAGAAGCGGCCCAATGACTGAGTTTGATGTGAGTTCGGACGGAAGCCCAGTATTGCTGCGGGTGCATGACACACATGGCAGCGGAAGCCAACAGTCTGGGTCTCTGCATTTCAAAAATCATCGACATGCCCCCTTCACCCTTCAGAGTAGCTGAGACCTCCAGCATGAACCTGTCCCGAGTATTCTCAGGAGGTGTACCCTGGCACTATTGGATGTCAGATAAGTCAGTAGCTGATAGAAAAACAGCCTCTTACCTTTCGGCCTTGTTGGAACCAGCACAGAGCTATATTGATGCACCCAGGGGTAACATCAGCACCGTCGGTGGCATGGAAGTTGGCACCATTGGTTCTCCACTGACTGGCTCTGTGGGTGACACTCTTTTGCAGGTGGTGACTCATTCCGAGAGTGGTGGTGTACATATCACTCTATTAACATTGGCATGATAAATTGGCAGCATAGAATTCAATAAAGTACCGACCTGGCAAAGTCCAATTGTGGACTTGTTTTTGGATTTGTGCACAGGAACAACCAGCACAAACATCAACAAATCAACAAACAATACATCAACCGTTACTATTGTTTCCATGGTTCGTCTTTCTCAACTTCAACCATGTTTCCGACCTCACTCTCTCAATGCTCTATCATCCACTCATATCCTGTGGCCTATCCTTTGGCCACTTGCAGCTGCAGTCTGCAAGTGGTCAAAGGCAGTGCTACTATTAATTTTCAACCACTTTTAGTATGTTTTGTTTTACTTATGTTGTGCAGTACTAACTTGTCATTTGTAAGCACCCCGTTTTCTCTTTGTGGAATGAGTATCAGATGAAGATGAAGCTACTCTGAGCCTATTGCGCCTCTGTGTGCCTTTTGAGCTCATTGAGATTATGAGTGACTGGAGTGCAACATGAATTTTTGCATAGCTACATAATCCCTCCCCTCCAAAACAGCAAATATCTTTGGAATTTTCCAGTACTATTTTCTACATATTTTCTCCCTCTTACCCTTCTGCCTTCTTCCTACTAACTCTAAAAAGAAGCTCTGCATGAGAAAACCTGGCCTTGGCGCCCCCACCCTGTTATGCACAGCATCCTTTATAAAGTGGGCAATTACGAACTGTTCTCCATTAAGCCAGGGTCCAACAGAGTATTCTAGCACCCTTCCTGAGATATAAACTATTGTACCAGGAGAATAATTAAGCTCTGCTTTGAGGTCTGCCAAGGCTAATGTTGCATGATGGTTTCTTCCCAGACTAACAAGAAGATCTAACAGTGAAGGAGATTCACTGCCATCTCTGTGGCTAAATGTGACCTAATTAGTAATGATTTCAAGTCCCGAAAAGATTAAGGGCTAAGATTCTACTGGAGCAGGTTTTTTTTTTGGGTGTTGCACTTCCTTGATGACCTCAGAATATGCCGAAATGCCAGCTTGGAAAAGATCTGGCGCCACCACAGCAGTTATAGCATTCCATAGAACTTCTGATGTTGTCAAAGCTGCTATTCATTATTGGACCTTCTCCGATCTATAAGACTCTGATATCACTAACGGATCCATTAGTCGCTAAGAATAGAGTTAAAACTAGACTAAAAATAAACACATGGTAAAAATACAATACCTCTTATCTTTACATGAAGTATGCAGGAACCACCATTATTCTACCAGCCTCAAACTCTCCCCCCCCCCACCATCTGGGACCATATAGTCCTTGTCCCGCCAAGTGTTCTTATTTATAAGGGATTTGAGAAGAGTATCTCTTAAGCCAACAGTGATGTGGTTGATATGCTCCTGATTATTAATTAATTAGCCTTGAAGGGGAATCCCAAACCAGAAACATACTAGGCGAGAAGGTGTCAAAATATTAAGGAGGTAAACCACTAAAAATTTTCTATAACTGTTGTTGGAACCGAAATTTTGCCAAGCATTACTTCAGGGAAGAACTTCTTCAGTCTATCTATTTCAGCAGATGGCAACTCATCCACATTTGGTGGTGACAATTTGACCTTATCAGCATACCGGTCCACATCTCAATCAATATTGACTGTATTTCAGCATTTAAATTCATATACAGCCATAAATATCTCTTCACTCACTGGGGTTAACTATGGCATGTACAATGGTTAGGCAGCCCGGGTGATTTCATATTCTGAAATTGACCCATCATTGAAGGTTAAATTATCAGCTGGTGATTCCAAGCACTGCCAAAGCTGTACTGCTATTCTCATCCTTGATTCCCTCATTAATTAATAGTTGGCTACAATCAATACTAAACCATAGTTACCTAGCTTTATGCAGTAATTTAGTTTCAACTCTACCATTTTGAAGGACACCTAGTTCAGATGAATTGCTCATGATCTCTCCAACCCTCCTGGTCAGAGCTGCCACTAGCTCAGTTATCTTGCTTTTGAGGTTGTCCATTATGAAGAAGAAAAAATGAACCAAAGTTCTTGCGATCTGCACTGATGTCTTGTTTGGTTAAATTCTCCATCCAAGCCTTGCACCCTACAGTACAAAATATAGGTAAAAATGTGCAGTAATTGATAATCTAGTGTAGTGAAAGTAAGTATGAGACTGAATATTAAAATGGTGCATACCAGATTAGACCAATGAAGGAGTAGTGAAACCAAAAATGCAGAGTAATTGATAATCTAGTATAGTGAAAGTCAGTATGAGACTGAATATGAAATTAGTGCTTACCAGATTAAACCAATGAAGGAGTAGTGAAACTAAAATCATATATAAGGTTGGAGAAAGAAATGCAGTTAGTATTAGAGTATGTAGGAAAGAGATACAAAAAACAGGCTCAACAAACAAGACAGGCACGCCAAAAGCTAGAGAAAATGCAGTTCATATCTGAGTATACATGAAGCACAAAAAATAGGCTTAACAAACAATGCAGGGGCACAAAATCTAGAGAACACAATGTAGTTAGTGTTCTAAAGTTCAAGGTGCCAATCTCTGGAGACATGGATAGCCAAAAACATATCCTCCAGATCTCAAAGTGTCAGGCACCAATCCCTGGGGACATGGATAGCCAGGAACAAATACCCCCAGATCCCAAAGTAAGAGGCACCAGTCTCTGGAGACATGGATAGCCAAGAAGGACCTAAGAACAGAAGAAAAGTAAAAGGCGCCAGTCACTAGTGACATGGATAGCCAAGAAACAATTCAAACAAAGGAAAGAAAACTGACCTTGAGATGCACTATCAAGTACAGTTGTGAATAACAAATGCTTGTCTTAGTTTAATTGAACATTTGTCTCAAGCTAGATGTGCTTAAGTAATAAATATAATGTATTTCATAAGGAAGAAGAGTTGTGTTTTCAATTTATATACAACACTAATAATATCAGTATCATAATTTATAATACATATTATGTGATATCCAAGTCTGAGTCCAAGTCGAAATCTGAGAGCTCATTTTTGACATACTGTTGAGACATCCCACAAATTACTGTATGATCCTTTCACTCATCTAAGTCAGCTTTCTTCTTATCAGTAAAATTATCTATGTTTAAACAGATTGTTTCAAAGGTAGAAGCATCTGCATATAAGGATGTCCTAGGTGCAGTGAGTATTCTGTATGCTTGTTTTAATAGTACATATTTTATTATTGTATTAGCCAGTCCAATTGTGAAGTGTAGCTATTTGTATAGCAAAATAAGCAAAATATCAAGTTGGAAGCACATATTTTATACCAGTTTTGTGATAAGGTGAAGGATAAAGCAATTTTTGAACTTCGAGTGAATGTTAGTATCTCATCCTATTGACAACTCAAGGAGTGAGCTAAAAACCATACCACATTAAACAAATGTTTGTACATGAACTTGCTGTCTTAAATAAGATGTCTTAGGGAAAATTAGGCTGCCCTGTGGAGGAAAAAGTCTATAGGTCATTACAACAGCTTCTCAAGTAAGGGTCGTAAGTGCTGTGCATACAACAACTACCACTTATTAGATTATTGTAAGATCTTTGGTTTGGTTCTCCTAGTATGGTGTTCCTATTAGTCTATTAGTCATAAAAGTATCAAAAAAACCATGAAGCTCAGGAATCCTAGGTATTACCTTTTGAATAATAGACTTGATGATATGTTTCTTATTGGCAGTAGATAATGTCATTGCATCTTTTGTGAAGACAATACCTATGACAATCTCTTTGGAATGCTTGAAGATCTGATCATGAATAGATCCTATAACCTAGAGATAATAGTTGTCATCCAAGGCTCCTACATGGCTTAGAGTTATGCTTGGAGTTGCCTGCATTGTTTTAGTGACATTAGCCTGTATTATTCAAGGAACAATAGGGCTCTTGTGAGTAAAATATGGTATCTCAGATAAATATCAAGTATGTCATCATCTGTTGGATAATTATGTGTGTCCTGTTGTCTATAATATAGAGTTTTAGTGAAATAAACAAAATATATTTAAAATTACATATATGACTTATGAATATGGTATTTCACCTAGTATTGTGATAGGAAGAAGACCATCTCAAGGCTCTAATAGTTTCTCTTTATTATTATTGAATAATTAAGGAATTTGTATGTGGTGTGGGTTAGATGCTTATATGTTATTAAAATTGAAAAAATAGTCGAGATGCCTGGGACTGCATGAGCCTGTGAGATGATCAGTGACAATATCTCATTGGTAATCAAATGACTTACCCTCAAATGATTCATAATTCTTATAATTGAAGGCTGACAGTTCATATGATGAAATGTTGGGGTTAAGGTTTGATAGAGATTGATAGTTAGAGTTATAGAATATGTGATCCATACTAGTGCTTAATGGTGAATCAGCCTAAGTACAAGTACTTGATGATATAGTGTAAGCACCTTATTCATCTATGTAAGTATCAAAGATATGAGCAGGGTAAAAGGATAGCACATAACCACTAGCAGCATGTGCACTGAAGGAATCACTGTAGTTGCTGTAATAAGTGCTAGTAGGTGCATGAATCAGTAGTAACTATCAAGACAAAGAGAAACATACACCTTAAGCTGAACCTCCAGTATAGATTCAAAGTGTTTACCATTGGTTCATAGGGTTATTCATTGCTGAGATGCATCTAAGTGTCCATTGGGATATGCAAAGAATTTAGACCAGACTCATGAGTAGGTTTTGGTATCATTGTTTTACCTTTAGTACATTTTATAGGCATATACAGACAGGACTCAATTAATGAGGGTACAGTAAGGGTGTAGGGTATAGACAAATATCCGCATAGCATTCTACTATAAACTATACTTAAATAAGATATGTATTAATGAGAAGACATGGAGAAAAATAAGATGAAAAGGTATGATGTAAAAGTAAAACATGTAAGTGACAAATTAATACAATCTAAAGGGGGTTGCTATCATAATGAAATGGTAACATATCTAATATTACACGACCTCTTATTAATTGATCAGTGTCATACAGTGAATACAAAAATGTATTTTACATACCATGATTAAATGATTATGCAACTGAATAGCCACCAATTAAGTTCACATAATGGTACTAGTCTATCATGAGGTGCTTGACCAGCTCCCACCAGTGCCCTGAAATACTCTTCTTTGAAATCCAAGTCTGAAGAATTGTCTAGAACAATATAATTATCACTATTGTGAATCTTAAGACTGAGGAACTAGGATTGCAAGTTTGCAGGTCTGGATTATAAGAATGCATCTTTAGTTTGTGAACCTAAGGGTATCAAGGAATGCAGTGAAACACTATAGGACTGGAAGTCCCTATAGCCTTGTAGAGGCTATTTTTGCAGTGTGACACTCAGAACCTCCCTGAGCAGCAAATAGGATATTTTCATATATGTGTCAAGGAGTATAGTGGAGTATAGGTTTCCTTATCATTTGCAATCATTTGTCCAGCAAGTAATCTCTGTGCAAAGCCAAACCTGCTGTAATGAAACAACAATTGCTAGACACTACATGAAGTAAGTAACCAGCAATATAAAAATATTATGGTCTAGCACAGCCTAGTCTGCTATACTTGCAAGACAAGTGTGTTCGACCTGAGGGGTTCACTGTAAGGTATTAGAATAATCAGTTATACAAAAAGGAAGATAGTCTGAGCGTGGGAAACAAAGTCTGAAGGTATAATTACAATGTCCAAAGGTAAAATGTCGGGTCTGATGTTTTCAGTGTGAAAACAACAATTCTGCTGGGTGGCAAGAAAATGTCAGGTCAAGCTATACCTAGCTGCTATGTCTAAACAGACGTGTTCAACCCTAAAGGGAATTGCTACTAGAATGATGATGGATATGTGCGACCCGAGAGCGCGCTGTAACGAAACAACAATTGCTGGACACTAC